GCGCTGTGGATTACTTAGGGTGGCTGGCCCCTTGGGGTGTATGTAGTTCGTGGGGGTGGCATTACTAGGGGTCTTGGTACCTTGAGAATTGGGGGCAGTGCTTTGGGCCCTGCTGCCAACTCCTGCTTTCCTATTTCGTCCTTTTCCTGGGAGGTTGCAATTGCTCCTTTCCCCTTCCATTCTTTCTCTTGGGACTGTGGTGAGATAAACATTCCAGCTGGTTCTTGCTTTTCTCTATACCTTAAATTCTTCTGTAAGTGGGGGGATTCTCGTCCTGTTTCCTTCATTTTTTTCCCCTCATCACCTTGGGGATAATTCTCTTCTTTCCTGTCCCCATGTGCTCTCAGGGAGGATTCAGGTCTCTGCAGGTAATACCCCTTTGCTAATCCTGGACCCTCTCCTGGTCTCACCCTTACCCTCCACCCTAGTCAGGGGCTAGACACAGGGACTGGGGCTCTTCAGGGTGGGGACTTGTTTGCCGTCCAGGTCCTCAGTCTGAGGCTGACCGGTGCATGTTAGGGGCTAAATCTTGCACAGCGCGTATCTGGAAACTGGGAGACTTGCATGTTAGGGGTTAGTTCCTCAGTACTTTAGGGTGGAGCAGTGCATGCTGGGGAGTCTGTTGCCCAAAAGGGCATTACTTAGGCATGATGCATCTGGGTATTAGGAAGCCTCTGCATAGGGGTAGCCTGGTGGAGGTGACATGAGTACGCGTGGTGGTGAGGGAGTAAAATATATGCACAGAGTGCAAAGTGTATACTTGAGTTTGGAGAGCGTGTGTGAGTACAAGAGGCCACTTAATCATTTCTTGGTCAAGTGGGTGTTGGAAGTATTGGTCCCCATGCTCCACAGCCCCCAGTACTTCTCTCCAGTCTAGAGACATTGTGGAATGGCCGTTTTGCTGTCCACTTCCTCCCCTTCCCAGTGCCAACTGCCTTCCTCCCTCCTGACAGCACTTCTACCCTAGCCGGGCCCAGCCCCCGAGCAGTGCAGCCTCCCGAGTGCAGAGTGCAGCCCCCGCCCGCCCTGGCCCAGCTGCCCATGTCTACCCTGCTGGATCCCAAGTAATGATGATCCCTTCCCAGATCTCCTACCCAGCCTCCCAGGGGGCCTACTACATCCCTGGACAGGTGAGGCTGGAGGCTTGGGGGCTGGAAGCCACAGAACCTTGTACCCCCAACCCTCGCCTCCCCAACCCTGACCCTCCAGTCCCATCTCTTCTCCAGAGGTGGGACTTCCTTCTGGTCATCGCCTAGAGTTGGCTTGTCCTGTCTTGCCCTACATTCTCTTTGTAGTCTGATATGGTCCTCATAGCTCCCTCAACTCCTTGTCTCCCCTCCTCTCCCTTCCTTCTCCACCAGGGGCGTTCCACGTATGTTGTCCCGACACAGCAGTATCCTGTGCAGCCAGGAGCCCCAAGCTTCTATCCGGGTGCAAGCCCTACTGAGTTTGGGACTTACGGTAAGCACGGGAGGGAGTCAGGTGAGAACAAGTCCCAGGGAGCATCTAAACTCACCTGCTAATTCCTAAGACCCTTCCCACGCTTATCTCTTGGCCTAAAAATGATAGGGTTAGTAGGTAACCCTAGGGATTGGCCTAAATATCTAGCTGGCATGGGGAGGGGAAAAGAGTCTATCATATTACTGAGAGTTGGAGTCCTCCCCACATCAAGGAACATAGGATCAGGCACCAGTTTGAGGGCCTATTATAAACATTCCCTCTGACACTCGTTCCATGGTTGGGGGGAGCCCATGTAACATGGATTTGGGAGGTTTTTGTAGCTGTTTTTCATTTATATTCTAGGAAAGAATTAGTCTGTTCTTTATGGCAGTGGTTTCCAAAATTTTTTGATCATCTATCAGGAAAAATTTTGAGTATGTACCTCTAATACATGTATGTTTTTGTTTGTTTATATATGTATGCATAATTTAAATAAATAGTACACTTATATTACTTGTCAAAAATAAATAAGTAGAGATTAGGGATGAGATTAAAGAATGCATCCCGTTTTGGAGACCATTGCTTTAAGGAATTAACTTTTCCTCATCCTGGGCCTGGTTCGTAATGTTGCTTTTCGTTTCCTTGCCCCTTAGCAGAGGGCTGGAGACTGGAACTGGACTCAGGTTGAGTGGAACAGGGTTGGCAAATCTGGTTTTCTCATTCCCAGCCAAAGACCTGATTCTGTTTCAGGTTAAGTAGTTGTTGCTCCCTCAGAGTATATGTGTACGTGTTGCTGGGGGTGGGGTGCACACACGGTACCTTATGGGGTAGAGGGGCAGACACAGTCCTGGGAGCTGCTGTATGGTGTGGAAGGAGTGCTTGCCTACAAGGTGCGCGTGTGTCAGTGTCAGGAATTCTTGTAAACGCAGTTCAGACTGGTTCCCCAGCTTTGATAGGCACCTAATTCCCTTGGGGAGCAGGGTGGGGCAGAGCAAGGGGCTGGCTGTGGGTGATGAGAGATTCTAGGAGTGGGAGGTGTTCAAGCAGGCATTTGTATATGGTTGGGCCCTGACGCTGCCACCATTCTTCCTTTCTTTGTGCCCCCCCCCCCCCCCCCAGCTGGCGCCTATTACCCAGCCCAGGGTGTGCAGCAGTTTCCCACTGGCGTGGCCCCCGCTCCAGTTTTGATGAACCAGGCACCCCAGATTGCTCCCAAGAGGGAGCGGAAGACGGTGAGTAGCAGCAAGGGGCTCTAGGACATCTGGAAAGGGAGAATCAAGGTCAGGCGCATTGTGGGTCAGGGAGCAGGAAGTTGAGGATAGAGATCTTCAGCTGAGAGTGGGCAGAGAATGGGGATCTGTGAAGTGCTCAGGTTCTCTGTAAGGTACCAAGATTTCACTGTAGAAGAGGCTCATGGGAAGACTGAAGTGGCAGGTGCAGAAATTCCTGAGAGACCTGGGTTCTGGGGTCCATAAGATGTATGTTTGGTTTTGGGTTTCTAGTGGCTCGCCTCCGAAATGGTGTTTTCTGTGGCCCCACCCCCCCAGTCCTGGAAGCTCTTGAGGCCTCCGCCTCTGCTCAATCCTCAAGCCCTGGGCGTGGTGCCCAGAATAGGGTGCCAGGGCTGGGGAAGCCGCTGAGTCACCCTGGCTCCACCCACTGGATCTGGGCCCTGCCCCCAGAGATCAGGCAGACTAGCCACAAGTGAGCCGAATGGGTGCTTGATGGGGGTCCTGGGCCCCAGGGTGTGCAGCCACTGACTTGGGGACTGCTGGTGGGACAGGGATGAGGAAGGGAGGGGCATTGTGATGTACAGGGCTGCTCTGTGAGGTCAGGAGCCTCTTAGGGGTGGGGGCCAGGGCAGGGACTACAAGAGCAGCCAGATGGGTTGACAGTAGAATTCATGAGGTTTCTGGCACCCACCCACCTGCTCTCCAGTGGTGGGGTGAGGGGTTGACCTGGAGTCATAGGAGTGGGGCAATGTAGAGAGGTGGGCTCCTCCTGCTTCCCACTCATCCTGTACCTTTCTTTCCCCAGATCCGAATTCGAGATCCAAACCAAGGAGGGAAAGATATCACAGAGGAGATCATGTCTGGGGCACGCACCGCATCCACACCCACCCCTCCCCAGGTACTGTCTGCTCTTTGAGTGATGCCCGGGCTGGATGGCTGTTCTGTCCTGGACTCCCAAGTCCTTTGATTTTTTTCCTTCAACTAAGGGATTTATTTCCCTGCTTTCCTGGATTTCTAGGCAGAGCTAAAGTAGAAATGACTCTAGTAAAGAAGGGTTGTGGGACTCTTCAGGGCAAACTTGGTAACCCTTTGTGTCCTGCAGACGGGAGGCGGTCTGGAGCCTCAAGCTAATGGGGAGACACCCCAGGTTGCTGTCGTTGTCCGGCCAGGTAAGTAAGCAGGTGGGGCAGAGCTTTTATGGGAAAAAGGAGTGTGACAATTTAAAGTGCTGAGCAGGTGGAGTGACTTGATATGGGTGCCAGAGAGGAATGACTTAGGTTTCAGTTAGTGGGATTTTGAGGGTTGGTTGGATCTTGGGTGAGAAAGGAAAAGGGTTAGATGGGAGAAGACTGGGGGAGGGTGTTGGATTGAGAATGCCTTGGCTGGGAGGCGGAGGAACAACAGCGGTGAAGGACTTGCCTTTAATTACTCGTTCTTCCTTCCTGTGCTGCAGATGACCGGTCGCAGGGAGCAATCATTGGGGGCCGGCCGGGGCTACCTGGCCCAGAGCACAGCCCTTCAGAATCCCAGCCTTCATCACCTTCTCCGACCCCATCACCACCCCCAGTCCTGGAACCAGGATCTGAGCCTAATCTCACGGTCCTCTCTATTCCTGGGGACACTATGACAACCGGGATGATACAGATGTCTGTAGAAGAATCAGCCCCCATGCCACGTGAAACTGGGGAGCCATATTGCCTCTCTCCAGAACCCACTCCCCTTGCTGAACCCATACTGGAAGTAGAAGTGACACTTAGCAAACCAATTCCAGAATCTGAGTTCTCTTCCAGTCCTCTCCAGGTGTCTACCACCCTGGCATCTCACAAGGTGGAAATTCTTCCTGAGCCTAATGGCACAGTCCCATCTGAGGATCTGGAACCAGAAGTGGAGTCGAGCCCAGAGCTTGCCCCTCTCCCTCCCCCGACTTGTCCCTCTGAACCCCCCATGCCCATTGCTCCAACTGCCCAACCTGAGGAACTGCTCAACGGAGCCCCCTCGCCACCAGCTGTGGACTTAAGCCCAGTCAGTGAGCCAAAGGAGCAGGCCAAGGAAGTTACAGCATCAGTGACTCCCCCGACCGTCCTCTCTGCTACTCCAGCTGTTGCTCCTCCAGCTACTTCCCCTGCTCAGGAGGAGGAAATGGAGGAAGAGGAGGAAGAGGGAGAAGAGGGAGAAGCAGGAGAAGCAGGAGAAGCTGAGGGTGAGAAAAGAGGAGAGGAACTGCTCCCCCCAGAGAGCAGCCCTGTTCCAGCCCACCAGAATTTGGAGGCAGCAGTGGCCACCCAAGGTAAGGTGTCGGGGGGTGGGGGGGGGCTGGAGGGTGTGGTTCTTCATGGGTGGCCTCCTATTTGTGCCATTGTGTCTGGGTCATAGAAGCCCTGTGATGGAGCCTAAGAGCTGGATTAAGGAATTTTAAGTCTAGAGACCTTAGAACTCTGGATTTACTGTGACGAAAGGAGGAACTATCATAGAGTGGCTGCTGTTTATTTTTCTCAGGGGTTAGGGGTACTCCTTAAGTTATGCTCATTTCTTTTTTTTTTGGTCCCCCTAAACAGTGGCAGTATCTGTGCCAAAGAGGAGACGAAAAATTAAGGAGCTCAATAAGAAAGAGGCTGTAGGAGACCTTCTAGATGCCTTCAAGGAGGTAAGGGAGCAGAAGGTAACGGAGGGGAGAGGGTGCAGTTTGGCTGTGGAACAATGGTCATACTGCAACCAAAATGGAATGTTTTGCGGTTACAGGTGAACCCGGGAGTATCAGAGGTGGAAAATCAGCCTCCTGTAGGCAACAATCCCGGCCCAGAGCCTGAGGGCAGCAGTGTGCCCCTGCGGCCTGAGGAAGCAGATGAGACCTGGGACGCAAAGGAAGACAAAATTCACAATGCTGAGAATATCCAGCCTGGGGAACAGAAGTATGAATATAAGTCAGGTATGCTGAAGGAAGGGTTGAGACGGTCTGACTGTTCTTGTCAGGGTCCCAGGAGACAACAGTGGGATTGGTTCATCGTGTCTTCCTTGCAGATCAGTGGAAGCCTCTAAACCTTGAGGAGAAAAAGCGGTATGACCGTGAGTTCCTGCTTGGCTTTCAGTTCATCTTTGCCAGTCTGCAGAAGCCGGAGGGATTGCCCCATATCAGTGACGTGGTGTTGGATAAGGTTGGTAGGCTCGAGGGGGGTAAGTTTGGGCTGGCTGGCTGGGGAGGAGCCCAAGGTCATGAAAGAGTAGTGGCTCTAACCTGTTTCTCATACCTTCCCTGTCCTCTTCGCAGGCCAATAAAACACCACTGCGGCCACTGGATCCCAGTAGACTTCAGGGCATAAATTGTGGCCCAGACTTCACTCCATCCTTTGCCAACCTTGGCCGACCAGCGCTTAGCAACCGTGGGCCCCCAAGGGGTGGGCCAGGTGGGGAGCTGCCCCGAGGGCCGGTGAGTGGGACTGGGTAGAGGGGCAGATGGGCGGGGGAGTGGGCGTGGTGGCTCCCTGTATCTCACTGGGTGCTGGGAAGAAGTCTGCCCTGGATATGTGTGGTGATGGTGTCACAGGTTGTGCTGAGTAGGTTTTTATCTTCTCTTGTCCTCACCCTTGCTTAGCAGGCTGGTCTAGGACCCCGGCGCTCTCAGCAGGGCCCCCGAAAGGAGCCACGCAAAATCATTGCTACAGTGTTAATGACCGAAGATATAAAGCTGAACAAAGCAGAGAAGGCTTGGAAACCCAGCAGCAAGCGGACGGCGGCTGATAAGGACCGAGGGGAAGAGGATGCTGATGGCAGCAAAACCCAGGTACTGGCAAGTCCTGCTTTTGGTCTCCATTCCTTCTCTTCAAGGTCTGCCCTCTGAGCCAGCCTGGCCCTTGTTCAGTCCATCCTCATCACTAGCATCTACCTAAGTCCTCACTACCCTCTGCTGTCCCTCCCAGCAGCCTCTGTGCTTCTGAGAACCTCACTGCATCCTGTGTCTCCTCTGTCCGCTCTCCCCAATAGGACCTGTTCCGCAGGGTGCGCTCCATCCTGAATAAGTTGACACCCCAGATGTTCCAGCAGCTGATGAAGCAGGTGACGCAGCTGGCGATCGACACTGAGGAACGCCTCAAAGGGGTCATTGACCTCATCTTTGAGAAGGCCATTTCAGAGCCCAACTTCTCTGTGGCCTATGCCAACATGTGCCGCTGCCTCATGGCGGTTAGTTTTCATTGTTTTCTAAACCTTGTGGTCTAGCTTCCCACTTCTATTCCCGAGACTCCTTGAGTCCAGCTTCTTGGTTCTCCTCCACCTGTGCTGTTGATGGCAGCCAGGAGGAGGCAGAGCCAGGAGCTCTTCCTGGGTCACGTAGTTAGACTCCTGGAGGGCCTTCCCTGCGCTGAACTCTTCTGAATGCGATGTTCTCTTTGACATACAGCTCAAAGTGCCCACTACAGAAAAGCCAACAGTGACTGTGAACTTCCGAAAACTGTTGTTGAATCGATGTCAGAAGGAGTTTGAAAAAGACAAAGATGATGATGAGGTTTTTGAAAAGAAGCAAAAAGAGATGGATGAAGCTGCTACGGTGAGAGGAAACCCACCAGCTCCACTGCCCGCCCAGATGCTACTCAGCTGGAGAATTGGGGGTGGGGACAAGTTGGGGGAGATAGTGGTGTTTTGGGGGTTTCTTGGCCTTAGGACGTGAGTGCTTGCTGCTAGGCTTAGAAATCCAGATAGAGCAGGAGAGAGTGGTTTTAGCTGAGTGGTTGGGTATCTTTTGATGTGATCCCTGTCCCACGACTGGCAGGCAGAGGAACGGGGACGCCTGAAGGAAGAGCTGGAAGAGGCTCGAGACATAGCCCGGCGGCGCTCTTTAGGGAATATCAAGTTTATTGGGGAGTTGTTCAAGCTGAAGATGTTAACAGAGGCAATAATGCATGACTGTGTGGTTAAACTACTAAAGAACCATGATGAAGAGTCCCTTGAATGCCTTTGCCGTCTGCTCACCACCATTGGAAAAGACCTGGACTTTGAAAAAGCCAAGGTAGGAGTCCTGGAATATGGAAGGAGATGGGCCGAATGGTGTGTAGGGCCTGCTGTCCATTGTTGAGCTCCCTCTTGGGCTGTTGTCACTGAACCACAGTGATGGAGCTGAGGGTCTGAGGAGGGCAGGGCCTATGAGGTGAGGTGTTAGAAGTTCCTGACCTGATTCCTCTGCTTCTCTCCAGCCTCGAATGGATCAGTATTTCAACCAGATGGAAAAAATCATTAAGGAAAAGAAGACTTCATCCCGAATCCGCTTTATGCTGCAGGACGTGCTGGACCTGCGACAGGTATGTGTCCTCTCCTCCCCACCGCTAGTTTACTTCCTCTAACCCTACCTCCCCCAGTTCCCAATGTTGGTTTGTCTGGCCCACTCTGATGTGATTACCTTGTGACTGGCCTCCTGTCCCCACAGAGCAATTGGGTGCCGCGCCGAGGGGACCAGGGTCCCAAGACCATTGACCAGATCCACAAGGAGGCTGAGATGGAAGAGCATCGAGAGCACATAAAAGTGCAGCAGCTAATGGCCAAAGGCAGCGACAAGCGTCGGGGTGGCCCCCCAGGCCCACCCATCAGTGAGTTTGAGGCTAGGATTGAGAAGGGGGCATTGTCAGGGGTGGTGCTTTCCGCTGATGACTTCTTGTTAGTGCCACGTGTCTGGGCCACTGAGACCCCATGATGGAACTGAGGATCTGAGGAAGGGAGGCTGGGGGCAGCTCAAAGGGACCAGGCTGCTAGGACTTACTCATTATTCCAGTATACTCTCCTTTTTATCCTAGGCCGTGGCCTTCCACTTGTGGATGATGGTGGCTGGAACACAGTCCCCATCAGCAAGGGCAGCCGCCCTATTGACACCTCACGACTCACCAAGATCACGAAGGTAGGGGTGTGTGTTTTGGAGGGGTGATGGTGGTGGTGGGAGGGTAAAGAGAGATCAGAGAGGCATTAAGCACGGATTTGGATCTTAGTGCCCTCACCCTCTGAGGCTGGGAAGGCGACAGCTGAATTTTCCCTCTTAGACTAACTGGTTAGGTTGCTAGAGACAGGACTGCCATCTAGGGGGGTATTCGCCTTGGTCTGGACCAGCAGTCAGCAAACTGACACGCACACCAAATCCAGCCCATTCTCTTCTTCTGTACACCCCACAGCTAAGAGTGGTTTTTACATTTTGTAATGATTGAAAAAAAATCAAAAAGTGAATATTATGTGATGTGAAATTATGTAAAATTTAAATTTCAACATCCTCAGTTTTATTGGGACACAACCCCACATTCATTTCCTTTAAGTTGTTGTCTGTGACTGCTCTCGTGCTACAGCAGCAGAGTCTTGAGTAGTTGAAGTAGAATCTTTGACCTGCAAAGCATAAAATATTACTGTCTGGCCCTTTACAGGAAAAGATTGCCTGGGCCCTGGTCTAGGCCATTTGCGGCTGTGTGTCATGATGCTGGCTTTGACCAGATCAGACCCATGACTCTCCATTCCCCTTCCTTCCGCAGCCTGGTTCCATTGATTCTAACAACCAGCTCTTCGCACCTGGAGGGCGATTGAGCTGGGGCAAGGGCAGCAGTGGAGGTTCTGGAGCCAAGCCCTCTGACGCAGGTATGGAGGCCACTGTAAAGAGCTGGGTGGTTGTTAATCAGCTCTCTTGAGGGCAGATCCTTGTCTGTGCTGGAGCCTTGTCTCCTCGTGTCTACGGGAGGCTTTCAGTACAAAGTGGTTAGGTAATACAGCAGGTGTGTACTTGGGTCTGGGGATTAAACTGCTTTAGTTTTGGGACTAAGACCGAGTGTCCTAACCTGGCAAGTAGGAGATAGAATGTAAGAACATAGAGATTTTAATCTGTGTTTTCTGCCTCCCCAGCATCAGAAACTGCTCGTCCAGCTACTAGTACCTTGAATCGTTTCTCAGCCCTTCAACAAGCAGTACCTACAGAAAGCACAGATAACAGACGTGTGGTACAGAGGTGAGGTTTCCTAGGTGTCTTTGTTCTTCACATTGAGAGTACTATGATTGGGTTTTGGTTGTTGCCATAGGAATTCTTCCACCTGTAATGCTCAGAGACCCTGCCTGAGATTGGGGCATATTCCTTATGCCAAGAACAAGGCTCAACAGTTGCTCAGCATGTTGGATAGTTAAGCGAGAGAGTGCCAGGGCAGTATTGGTGAGAGACGATGTGCCTCTTTCTTCCAGGAGTAGCTTGAGCCGGGAACGAGGCGAGAAAGCTGGGGATCGGGGAGACCGCCTAGAACGGAGTGAACGGGGAGGTGACCGTGGAGACCGGCTTGATCGTGCACGGACACCTGCCACCAAGCGGAGCTTCAGCAAGGAAGTGGAGGAGCGGAGTAGAGAGAGGCCCTCCCAGCCTGAGGGACTACGCAAGGCAGCTAGCCTCACGGAGGATCGGGACCGCGGGCGGGATGCTGGTAAGGGGCTGGGAGAGGAAGGGAAGGTCAGCGTGTGGGCTGGTTTGGGACCATCCAGTCCCCAGACAGTCTTCAAAGCTCCAGACCCTCTTTGCTAGGAAAACTGGAACTGGACAGTCTCTGATCTGTTTTTCTGCCTTCAGTGAAGCGAGAAGCCACGCTACCCCCAGTGAGCCCCCCGAAGGCCGCGCTCTCTGAGGAGGAGCTGGAGAAGAAATCCAAGGCCATAATTGAGGAGTACCTCCATCTCAATGACATGAAGGTAGCCAGTGGGAAGGGTCTGTGTGGTGGCAGAGGGGACAGGGAGTGGAGGGGCAGGGAGTGGAGGGCCGGGGCCAGACAGTAACTGCTCTCTCTGTCCTGTACCCTGTGCCCCCTGCAGGAGGCAGTGCAGTGTGTGCAGGAGCTGGCCTCACCCTCCCTGCTCTTCATCTTTGTGCGGCATGGCATCGAGTCCACACTGGAGCGTAGCGCCATTGCTCGTGAGCATATGGGGCGGCTGTTGCACCAGCTGCTCTGTGCCGGGCACCTCTCCACTGCTCAGTACTACCAAGGGTATGACTGACTTCTGTGGGCCTCCCGCTTTTATATACGCACAAGTTTCCCTGCTTTGTAGGATCCGTGTAACCTTGGATAAGAGTGTAGGCTCCTCAGCCATCCTGGTCAACATTTCTTTTGGCAGGGATAGGGGTGAACCATCTAAGAACAAGAAGGTGGCCTTAGCTTGAGATAACTGCCTCGTGTTTAGGAAATGCTCCGCAGTTGTTCCTTTAGCCATGCCTTGTTGCCCCAGAAGGAGGGTGGGGGCGCAGCTTGTCTCATCTAGAATGCCCTCACTTTGAATTGTCTTTGCAGGCTGTATGAAATCCTAGAATTGGCTGAAGACATGGAAATTGACATCCCCCACGTGTGGCTCTACTTAGCAGAACTGGTGACGCCCGTTCTGCAGGAAGGTGGGGTGCCCATGGGGGAGCTGTTCAGGTAAGCCCCCTTTGGTGGAATTGAAGACGGGAAGAAAGGCCTGGGAGGGGAGGGGGGTGTGGCAGGTTAGATGCCTGGGTTTAGGGAGGGATAGGGTAGTGCTGGGAAGGCTTTGGAAGCTATCAACGCTGGATTTTCCTCTTGTAGGGAGATTACAAAACCTCTGAGACCCTTGGGCAAAGCTGCTTCCCTATTGCTGGAGATCCTAGGGCTCCTATGCAAAAGCATGGTGAGTGAGAGCCTTTTGGGGGTGACGTGTTCGGGACTTCTCTTCCACCATGTGGTTTTTTAGCTGCTTGAAGTAACCCTGAAGAGCCTCATGGTCCTTTGGTGGGATGGGGTTAACGGTGCTGGTAGTGCTGGGTTGGTACCTGGGAGAGGAAATGTTGGGGCTGGCACTCTCCCTCGGACCAGTTCCTGTTTAGAGTTCTGGAGGAGATGCTGGGAGAGGCCAAGGGTGGAGAAGAATGGGAATCTAAGACCCTAGGCCCTTGATTGATTGATTGATTGATTCATTGATTGATCCAGTGCTTTTTAAACATTTACCACATGTTTAGGCACTGGGAATACAGCAGTGAATAAAACACAGTTAGGAAATCAGTTGGGAAAGAAAAAAGTAAGAAATACACAGATTTGGGGCCGGCCCGGCCCGGTGGCACAGTGGTTAAGTGTGCACGTTCCACTTCGGCGGCCCGGGGTTCGCTGGTTTGGATCCTGGGTGCGGACATGGCACCACCATGGCATTGGCAAGCCATGCTGTGGCGGGCGTCCCACATATAAAGTAGAGGAAGATGGGCATGGATGTTAGCTCAGGGCCAGTCTTCCTCAGCAAAAAGAGGAGGATTGGCAGGAGATGTTAGCTCAGGGCTAATCTTCCTCAAAAAAAGAAAAAAAGAAATACACAGCTTAATAAAAACAACAGTGTAAAGTAAAGCGTGAAATAAAATAGTTGAAATGGAGTGTCTTCAGTACTGTGAGATTGCAAAGGAGTGTCTCTTTGGTAATGTTCATGGCAGAAAGCTTTCCTGGAAGCTGCTTTGTGAACGTTGGAATGTTAATTGATGATTTGCAAGTGTAAAGTCAGATGGAAAAGGCAAATTGGGTGTGGTACTCAGTGGTAGTGAGAAGTTGCGAAGTTCTCATTCAAAAGAGTTCAGCTCTCTGGAACCTAGAGGAAGGAGACTGAATTGAAAGGAATTGTTCTTTCAGCATCATATTAATCCTTTTAGGTAGAAATATGTACCAGGATAATGTCTTTTTAAAAGAAAAAGAAAAAGCATGTTGAACTTACTTATGTATGTCATTGAATCTAAGGTGCCGTAGCTTGCAAGACATATTCTTTATGCATTACTAAGAAAAGACGTGGTCATATTTCTTAAATGCAATACATCAATCGTGAGACAACTCAATTTTAGTAGTGTTAAAATGGGCATCTTTAAAATCCATGAAGTACAATAATCTTGTTAAGGGTTGAGGTCATCATTCTGAATGTGTTATTGTTAAAGAGTGATGCCTTTAGAATCTCTTGCCCCATACACAAAACAGGCTAAGACTGCTGTTGATTTGAGGGTTTCTGATTTGGGTTGGGGTCGGGGGGGTATATCTGCTTCTAAAATTTTCTGGACCTGGGAACCAAAAATACATACTTGTTAGAAGTTGTTCTCTCCCATAAGCATTTGTTGCTTGAAATAATGAAAAACTAAGGTATTTTAGAAAAGGAAATGTAGATGAGTGTGGAAGGCTAGGATGAGATGTTTGGATCCAATTGTTTACTCTGGTGGATGAGTTCTTGTATCTTTGGGTAATTATTTGACTGATGTCTCTGCCTGGTACCAGGCTGTAGGCATGGAGGGACTGTGGTACCTCTTACCTCTGTAGCATCCTGAGCCCTAACGGGCACCTAGTGGGCTCACAGTAAATATTTGTGGGATGACATTTGTGAAGCTGTTAGATTCTTGGAGAGAGAGAGAGAGGGTTGCTGACTTGGTTTTATGCTTTCCAGGGTCCCAAAAAGGTGGGGACGCTGTGGCGAGAGGCTGGACTCAGCTGGAAGGAATTTCTGCCTGAAGGCCAGGACGTCAGTGCATTTGTGGCTGAACAGGTTTGCGGCTAGAGTTAGGTTAATTCTAGCATTTGGGGCTGGCCACTTCTCCCCCTTTCCTCATCTCATTCACATGGGGTACTGACTTCCTCACGCTGGGCCTTTTCTCTTGCAGAAGGTGGAGTATACCCTGGGCGAGGAGTCAGAAGCTCCCAGTCAGAGGCTGTTCTCCTCCGAGGAGCTGAGCAGGCAGCTGGAGAAGCTGCTGAAGGAGGGCAGCAGTAACCAGCGGGTGTTTGACTGGATAGAGGTATGCTCTTCCTGGATGTTGGGAAAGAGGGATAAAGGAGAGGTAGTTCTTGGTCTAGGGGTGGGGGCAGCAAGAATGGAGACTTCAGGGCACAATTCAGAACTAAGGTCCATTTTCTTCTCTTTTCTCCTGCACAGGCCAACTTGAGTGAGCAGCAGATAGCATCCAACACATTAGTTCGAGCCCTCATGACAACTGTCTGCTATTCCGCAATTATCTGTAAGAGGGGCTGGGGAGATGGCAGGGCAAGGGTGGGCCCAACAGACAAATGGAGGGAGGGGGGTTTGGGTCTCTGCCTCCTGGTCTGAACCAGGCTGACGGTGCATTAGTCCACTTACCCGTTTCTTCCTCCCTGTAGTTGAGACTTCTCTCCGAGTGGATGTGGCAGTGCTGAAAGCGCGAGCGAAACTGCTACAGAAATACCTGTGTGATGAGCAGAAGGAGCTGCAGGCGCTCTATGCCCTCCAGGCCCTTGTAGTGACCTTAGAACAGCCTGCCAGTAAGAGCCAGGCTGCGGGGCGTGGGGGGGTGGAGGAACCACCAGAGAGCAGGGTGCAATCACCGGAAAGGTCTCAGCTGGAGAGAGGTGGCTGGTCATTGGAGAGCAAAATGCCCAATTGGTTGATTCCTTCCCCTACAACTTTTGTTTCTTTGCCTACAATTGGAAGGAATTAGACTCAGCCTTGAAGGTTAATTGACTACCTGTTTTGGGCCTAGTCCACTGTTAGATGTCTGGAGTGCAGAGGTGATAAATGATGACATTTTCTAAGTATCATGTGCTCCCTCTGCCTGGCATGGGGCTGAGATGCTTCTCTTTCCTTGCCTCATTTAATCCTTGTAACTGTTGTTTAGGGTAGACAGTGTTATCCCCTTTGCCATATTGGGCAACTGAGGCTTAGGTTAACATGCCTGAGGTTATGCATTCAGTAAATAGGTTTGTACAGGGCACTGGGATATTACCAATGAATAACTCAAGCACAGTTCCCGTGTGGGCATGGAGTTGGTACTAGAGTGATGAGTGTTGGAAGCTGGGTCCTGCAGGGTGCTCTCTAGGGGAGTACACCTAGTCAAGGGATAAGGAGTGGGAATTAGCTAAATGATAAATGGGAGCACTTGAAACCAAGGACCTATGTGTAAAGGAAGGCTCTGTGGTAGAGAGAACTTGACACAAGGTAAAAGGACTGTTGGAGGAAGGCCAGTGTGGGAGAGCACAGCAGCCAGTTGTATGTGAAGCAGGATGGGGCTGGAGTGATGGACATGGACCAGGTCTTGGAGGGCTGTGAAAGTCATGGAAGGAGTTGTGAGCTTTAGCCTAAGGCCAGGAAAAGGCCTTTATGGGATTTTAAGCAAGGAATAAAAAACAAATCGATTTTAGTTTTAGATCATCCTGGCCATTAGTGGGAAGAGTGGTTTGGAATGAAGTGAGTGTTGAATGCAGCAGGATCAGCAGATCAGGAGCCTGTTGGTAGTGGCTCAGCCTTGCTAGTGGCATTGGAGATAGGAGAGGAGTGGGTAGATTTAAGACATACACTGGCCGAGGAGTGGGTAGTGAGAGATCAGATGTCCTGTATGACTGTCAGGATGGTTTTAGCAGGTCGGGGAACGGTGTGGTACCATTCACTAGCAAGTAGGGAACTCTGGATCAAGTTAAGTTTGGTCATAATTGAGTTTGTGGTCCATAGGTAGGGGTGATCAGAGATGTCAGGTAGACCGCTGGGTATCTGAATTCATCTAGAGAGGGAGAGGTCAGGGCTGGAGGCTGATCTGCGAGTTGCTGGCACAGGCTAACAGATGTGCAAGTCACAAGGATGTGGGATTGCCCAAGGGAGAGTGATGAGGTCCTGGGATAGAACCTTGAGGGGGCGGAGGACCTATACATAGGGACTAAAGGAGGACAGGGCCCTATGAACAAAGGCTGGAGTAATTTTAGGAGAGGGAAGATGCCAAGAATGCTAGATGTTGCTTGAGATTTCTACAGGAGCAGACCTCAAAATTGAGGGCCTCTGGAGTTGAAAAACATGGAGCTCCTGCTGGCAGATAGAGTATTTGCTGGAGCAGTGGACAGAATCCAGATTGGAAAGGACTGAGTAATACTTGACTGAGAAAAGAAGAAAGGAAAACAGCAAGTGTAGATAAAATATTTGAATTCAGTTAATCTCTTGTCAAAAGTTTTTGTTCAGCTGTAAGAGAGTGGTTGTAAAGGAGGCCGTTTGTGTTTAGGTGGGAGAAACTTGGGCTTGAAAATACAGGGCGGAGTGGATAACTGATTGTATAGGGTCCCCAGGGTGGGTATGCATGGGATTTGGAGCACAAGTTTGGGATAAATGATCTGTTGCCTTTGCTGTAGGATGCGGGTGGGAGGCTGTCCATGGGCAGTTGTGGATTTGAGGGTGTGCACACCCTAAGGAACATTTTGGCTTACAGCTCCTCACAGATGGCTCAGTTAACATTTCACCCAAACCTGGGCTCTAGATCTTATGCTTTCTCCTTTTCTCTATTCACTACTCTGCCTCCCTTTGCTTTTAAGAATGTAAAGTTGGCTTTGGAAACACTGGCAGTGCACTGTGGGGATTGGGCTAGGTTGTGTTCAGGGACTATGGGACAAATGCTTCAGCAGGCCGATAGTAGCCAGGGGTGAGGAAGGAAGGGTCAGAGCAGGGCATGCTTGAGTTGAACCTAAAAGAATTCACTAGGAAAGTGCCAAGAGAGAGGATGTTTCTGGCAAAGGATATAGCACACGTAAAAATGTCAAGGCCAGAGAGGGGGTTCATATGTGTGGAAAGTAAGAGGAAATTGTGATCAAGAGTTTGTCAGGATCTGTAATGAGGGCCAGTGAATGTTCCAAGTTATACCCTTGACTTTTTTGAATGATACATCTGGGACTTGTATGATTCCCCAGATTCAGGAGCACCAATCTTGCATATAGTTTTCCCCATTAAATATATCATGAGTGGAGAAGTTTGAAGCTGCTGAGGTGAGGCTGGGCAAGTTTGTAAGGTTTGGCCAAGTGACTCATTCCTACACGTGTCTCTTAGATCACAAGATTAGTGTCCTGTCAGAGACCTGGTCACTCTGGAATGGTCAGACACACAAATATCAGGATGATGGGTCAGGACCTTGTTTTTAAGTGGAGCTTGGGAGGGATCCCTGGGTGGGATGGGGTGGCTGTAGGCAGCACGCCTCTAACTGCTGTCTTGCCTGCTTGCAGACCTGCTTCGGATGTTCTTTGATGCGCTGTACGATGAGGACGTGGTGAAGGAGGACGCTTTCTACAGCTGGGAGAGTAGCAAGGACCCCGCTGAGCAGCAGGGCAAGGGCGTGGCCCTTAAATCTGTCACAGCCTTCTTCAAGTGGCTTCGTGAGGCAGAGGAGGAGGAGTCAGACCACAACTGAGGGCGGGTGGGGCCGGGGACTTGGAGCCCCATGGACACTTGGATGGCCCAGCCAGCCGCCTGGACTGCAGGGGGGGTGGCAGCAGTGGCGGCAGCAGTGGGTGCCTGTAGTGCGACGTGTCTGAGCTAATAAAGTGGCTGAAGAGGCAGGATGGCTTGGGGCTGCCTGGGGACCCCCCTCCAGGATGCTGCCAGGTGTCCCTCTCCTCCCCCCCCCTCGGGGCACAGAGATATATTATATATAAAGTCTTGAAATTTGGTGTGTCTTGGGGGGGGCACCACCGCCTGCCCCTGGGGTCTTTTTTTATTTTCTGAAAATCACTCTTGGGACTGCCGTCCTCGCTGCTGGGGGCATATGCCCCAGCCCCTGCACCACCCCTGCTGCTGCCTGGGCAGGGGGAAGGGGGGGCACGGTGCCTGTAATTATTAAACATGAATTCAATTAAGCTCACTGCCTCTCTGCTTTATGGCTTGCTCCCTCTGGAGAAGGGGTATGGATAGGTGGGCAGCCTCCTTTCCAGAGCTGGCACTGTAGCACTGTTCCCTGTAACCTGGCACCCCTCTTGCCTCTTCCCCTGTCCATGATTGTGGGGGCTGGGGAGTCGCTTTCCTGGAGTATTGGGCCCTCAAAGTGGACATGGTGGGGTGCCCTGTTGGATAGGAGGGGAGAAGGGTGACAAGTAGCTGTGGGGTACTGGACCAGCACTTCCTGGTGGCTTTACTACCAGAATGTGATCCAAACCCCTGTGTATGGAGAGGGCCCTGGGTTTCAGGCTGTTGATGGCCAGAGAAGCCCTTTATGACTTCAAGTCTCATCTGTAAAATGAGGAGGCTGGATGGAAGGTCTTCTGTCCCCATGCAGTATTATTGGCAGCCCGGGCCCAGTGAGTTACTCCCTCTGCCTGAATTCAGGGTCGCTCTGCAGTCTGGCCTGGGAGGAGACGAGCTTTTTCCAGGCTCGGCCCCAGGCCGCCCCTGCGTGGCTGTGACGTCGGCTTCTCCCCGCCCGCCTTGGCTGGTGACGCAGGTGGCCACGCCCCCGCGCTTACGTCACCGGCCCGGTTCCCTCTCCCGGGAGCGGCGGCGGACGCGCGGCTCCCACCCCCTCCCCTCTCGCGGGTTCTCCCCTCCCCGGTGGCGGCCGCGGCCTGACCCTCTGCAAGGCGATGGCCCGGGCCCCGAGCGCGGGCTAGTGTGCCTGGGTGCCCGGTCATGGGCTGTATCGGCTCCCGGAGCCCGGCGGGTCAGGGTAAGAGGCGGAGGCCGCGCACGGGTTGGGGAGTCGGGCTGCGGCTGCCCGGTGCGCGGGCCGCGGTTGGGGGGGGACTTGAGGAGGGGGCCGGTGTCGGGAGAGGGAGGAGCCTGCAGCGGGGAGGCGGGCCAGGCAAGAGAAGGGAGCGGGCCTGAGCGGGGAGGGGGCTGAACCGACTCGGGTTCGCTCCCCTGGCCTGCCTGCTTCTGGGCTTTGCAGGGGAGACTCGTGGTCTTTCCGTCTGGATTCCTACCGTTGAGGGTGGCAGGGAGGGGCTAGTCAACCCTCCCCAGCTCATGGCGACTGGCGTTGCACGCCCACACACACTCACCTCCCTCTGCCTACACCTTTCCTCTCACTGTCCTGGGAGTGGCCCTATGCTGGGAACCTGCCTCTCCCAGCTGTGTCCCAACCCCCTTAAGGAGGTAGCCTGCAAACGCTGGCCAAGCACCCTATGGAGTTTTTAACGAAAACTTACTCTCCCCTTCAGAGTCACTAGGTTGATGAAGGGGACTGAGGTCCCATTTGGGGCACCTGTGAGTACCTGATCGCCTCTCACCTCTGACAGCTGTTTTAGTTTCCTTCCCCCACTCCCAACAACAAAATCACCCTGCCCTGTAGAAGGGAACAGGAGCCCACAGGGAGGCCATCAGGGCTTCCTTCTCACAACTGCTGACCTCTGCTTGGGCCTTGGTTTCCATGGATGGTGGTACACCTTGGGGCCTGGCCTGAGTCCTGTGCATCTGAGGTTGGCCAGCCTGCTTTACTCCAATGTCATGGATTTCTCCAAGCCCAAGGCTAGGCAGGAACTTGTGATATTGAGGGCTGGGTTTGGAATGGGTCCTGGGCTTTTAGGGCAGGTGGTCAGTCACACAGGCCTTGGTGTGGTTGGTACTTGAGGTTCTTTGGAGCTAAGTCTCTACCTGACGTTTGTCTTTCCTTGGGTTCCCATGAGGAATTCTGGGATTTGTAGTCCTAAATTAACCTCATGGCTTTCAAAGCTGAGAAGCAGTAGGCTGGTCTGATCGCTCTTGCCCTACTAATGCTTGAAGTTTAGGAAGTCATTCCTTATGGTAGTCAGGGGAGAGTTTGGCTGACCTCAGGACTGGCCTTGAGAGCCCTAATTAGGTACTAGCTGGGGACCAGGGATGGCCTGTAACCTTGTGTCTTCCTTCTGGTTGGTAGCGTTTCTGGGGACCACCAGCTGGCTGAGGCTCAGGGACAGAGACGGCTGCTCCAGCTAAAGGTCAGTTGTGTACATTGCCTCTTGGCACTGTCTAGGGGATGGGCCTCAGCTCCCTGAGCTCCAGAGAGCTTGGCTGGGCCCCTGGCGCTCCCACCTCCTCAAAGCCATGAGGCAGGAGTGTTCTCCTTATGTGACTAGGCACAGGTTCCAAGTGGGGAGGGGACTGGCTCAGCATCCGGAGCCAAAATAGGAATAGAACTGGGAGCCGAGCCTGGAGCAGTTCTGGGCTTTTGGTTCTCCGCATCAACACAGCCAGCATGCCTATGATTTCTGTGCTGGGCAAAATGTTTCTGTGGCAGCGTGAAGGGCCTGGAGGACGATGGACTTGTCAGACAAGTCGCAGAGGTGAGACCAGGGACTGTAGATGTGATCTGGGAGGTGATGGGGAGCTGAGGAACAAGGTGCTCAGGTGGCAAGAGGAAAATTACTCTGGCTTAGATGTTGAGAACCAGGCTGAAACAGGAACAAATAGGCTGGAGTCGGACAGGGCGTCAGGGAAAAAGCCTTAGGGGACTGGGGCAAAAGTCAGAAAAAACCATGGGTTTGTCAGAAAAGAAGAGTGAAGAGCTGTGTACCAGTTGAGGTTGGCAAGAGGAAAGAACTAAGAGAAGGAAGGCAGGAACCTGCAAAGGGTCCAAGGTGGTGGTCGGGAGGGGTCGGTGATGTGGTGGAAGAATGTGGTGTGCTTTCCAAGAGGAATAGGTAGGCAGAGAAACCGGAGAAGATTTGGAATTTATCAAAGTTTAGATTTCAAACCTAGGGTTTTGATGGCAAAATACATCCAAAGGAGGAAGGTGGCCCCTGGCTACCACAAAATGGCCCCAGGGCCCTGACGATCAGGGCTGGGGGATAGGGGCTTTCAGAGTTGTGGAGAGCACCAGGTGGTTGCAGATATTCTGGGAGGTGGGAGAGGAGGTGAGGAGAAATCATAGGGCAACAACGGATGAAAATGGGGATCTTGGCAGAAGTGGGAGCCTAGCTGAACAGCCTTTCCCCAACCCCTCAGTGGCCTCGGACCCCGCGTGGGCTGTGGAGTGGATCGAACTTCCTCGGGGCCTCTCTCTATCTTCCTTGGGATCTGCTCGGACCCTCCGAGGCTGGAGCCGGTCCTCTCGCCCTTCCTCCGTGGACAGCCAGGACTTGCCAGAGGTGCTGGGCCCCCAGTGTTGGTAGGGGGAAGGGGGACCGCATTCACATGAAGAGGATCTCTATCCCCCACCCCCGCCTTGCCAGCCTGCTTCTGGCTCCCTTTTCCTGCGAGCGGAGGCGCTATCCGGCCGGGCCCGCAAGGCCGCCCCCGCCACCGGTCTGCTCTGCTCGGCGCGGTGCCAGCGGGCGGGCTTGCTCGCGCCTTCGACGCTGACGTCAGCGCCTCCCAGGCCGTATCCCGGGAGACCCTGTTGCATGGTGATGGGTTGCCAAGGAGACATACACCTTTTCTCTGGGCCTGGGCCGCAGCTGCGCGGAGCACCCGTACGGATGGCTTCGTCGGCTGGGGGGAGTGAGGGGAGGGAGGGAAAGCGAGCCAGGAAACACCCAGCAGGTGCTCCTCCCCCCAGTCCTGGCCAGAAGCTACCGGCACCACCCTGGGGGCCCTGTCAGCCAGGTACTGAAAGCGGAGGGACAGAGGGTGGGCCTGAGCTCAAGGGGCATGCGGAGCCCTTCTGAGGGTGGGAATGTGATGGAGGAGAGCTAGGCAATGCTGGGGAGGGGGCGTGTGCCTCTGACTTCATTCATTCACAGGGAGAAACGTTTGCCGGGGCTTGCCAGGGAGCACTGAGCCAGGTGCAGGGTGGAGGTAGGAACCCAAGTGAATCAGACTCAGGCCCTGCCCTCCTGAGATCCCTCAGGAGAGATGCAAGGGCAGTGCTGGGGTGGGGGTGGGGGCTGGAAGAAGACAGAGGAAACTGGACTGAAAAGATAATAGGAGGTGGCGCTTGAGTCAGGCCTTAAATGGTAGGGAGCATTTTGTCAGGCCAGGATGGCATTCTTAGCCCAGGGGAAGCTGGGTTCCTTGGCCTGGAGGCAGGAGGGCTGCTTTCTGACAGAGGAGGTGGAGAAGTGGGGTTTTACTGGGCAGATGAGATCAATGGTGGATTCCAAGCAGGCCTGACCGGAGGCAGGGGCCTCGCAGAGTGGATTCCTTCAGTCCCTGCCTATGAAGCTTGCACTTCATTGGACACTAGAGAGCCCAGAAAAGATTTTAAATAGGGACGTGTTGTGACCAGTTGCGCTCCAGGAAAATTGTTTACATTTATACCTTGCCTCATTCATTTAGCTTATGTATTTTGAGAGATTATTCTCTTCTAGGAACTGTGCTAAACACTGTGCAGTAGTGACCAAAAGAGACCAAATTCCTCAAAGAGCTAAAGACCCATGAGGGGGACCAACAAGAAATAAGGAAACATGAAATAGACCTCATTACACCCGTGGAGGTTGTTGGTAGGGAATGGTGACTTGTTACAGACTATAGAGGGAGGTTGGACAACTGGTAGGGTAGCCAGGAAGGCTCCTCTGAGGGAGCGATATTTCAGGCAAGACTCAAAAGATGAGAAAGAGCCAGCCAGCTGTGGGAAGAGGGCCGGGGAACACTTATACACACAACATTCTAGGCTGAGAAAATAGCGTGGAATTTGAAGAGCTTAGGGGACCACCAGATGTGCTAATCTGGGCACTGAGGGCTTGAGAAGGGCAGTGGCAGTGGGAGCAGAAAGGATGAGAGTCATATTAGAGGCACTTAAGAGATGGAATCATTAGGTCTTAACAACAGATATGGCTAAGCCAAGCTGAGGGGAGTGTTGGTGGTAATGCTGAGGTTTGGAGCCAGGCTGAACGGGAGAATAATGGGGTGATACAAAGTAAAGAAGTCCAGAAGCAGGGCCAGATATGGGGAGGTATTGGGTTTGGTTTTGGTCAGGCTGAATTTCTGGTCCTGGTAGCCTCTAGAAACAGCTAGAAGGTGGGTCTGAAGACTAAGAGGAGAAGGACAAAGGGGAGAGGACCTGGAGGAAATCCTGATGCCATACCCTTCTCCCTTCCTCTTCTCCCTTCTCAAAGCCTGAGCTCCCTGGTTCTTTACTTCCTGACCTGCCTCCTTCTCCTCCAGAAGCTGGGGAGGTGGAGGGTTAGCTGCAATTCTGCTCCTTTGGGCCTGCCCAAGTCTCCATTGCTTCCCGGGAGGACACAGTTTGCTTGTCCTGGCTTCTTACCCTCTTTTATATCCCAAAAGCCACTGGGACATATGTCCTGCCATCTGCCATATCCCCCGTCTAGCTCCCATATCCCCTTGCTGCCTTGGGTGGGGTATGGGCATGTAGGGGAGCACTCCTCTCAGAGGGGCACTCACCTGCTGATGCTGTCACCCCAGGTGAATGTTGGAGACACAGTCGCGATGCTGCCCAAGTCCCGGAGAGCCCTAACTATCCAGGAGATCGCTGCGCTGGCCAGATCTTCCCTGCATGGTGTGTACCCCCTCTCATGCCTCTGGCCATTTGGTCCTTTCTTCTCCCTTTCGCACATGCCCTTGGGGACTATATCCTGTGAGCTCTTGCTGGGATCTCCCTTTTCCTCCCTTTCTCACATAAATCCCAGCTCCCTCCTCCCATGCAAAGGCACCTGTGGACCCTAACTATCATCACCCTTCCACTTCCCTCCCAGATGCTCCCTGGCCTGTGCCCTCACCAGGCTTCCTCACTCTGCCCCATCTCCAGGTATTTCCCAGGTGGTGAAGGACCACGTGACCAAGCCCACCGCCATGGCCCAGGGCCGAGTGGCTCACCTCATTGAGTGGAAGGGCTGGAGCAAGCCCAGCGACTCGCCTGCTGCCCTGGAGTCTGCCTTTTCCTCCTATTCGGACCTCAGTGAGGGTGAACAAGAGGCTCGCTTTGCAGCCGGTGGGTGGCAGAAAGGGGATCAGCCACACATTTGTTGTAGGGATGCTCTCTCTCATCTCCTCAGGCCTGATGTGGGGGTTGGAGTCTTTCCACACCCCTGTGTCTACCCTCTCCTGTCTCTAAGCTGAACCCTAGTCTTAGCTCATCTTCTCTGCTAATAAATTCTGTGTCCTCCCCAACAGGAGTGGCTGAGCAATTTGCCATTGCAGAAGCCAAGCTCCGGGCATGGTCTTCAGTGGATGGTGAGGACTCCACCGATGAATCCTATGATGAGGACTTTGCTGGGGGAACTGACTCAGGTGAGGGGACATCCCACGCTAGTGCTGCCAGCTGGGGTGGAACCGCCTGATAGACAGTGATTCAGAGCTCAGCCTTTGGAAGGTGGGAGGCGAGGGGCAGACTCTTTCCGGGCAGTCCTTGACATTCTAGGGGCAGGAGGACTGTCCACGCTCATGGATGGGCAATCAGCAGTTGGAAATGGGGCAGTTCCTTTCCCACAGGTGCTGAGCCTTCTCTGCCTGTCTGTGCAGTTGGGCTTTGCAGATCTCAAAAAAAAAAAAATGCCCAGACACCTCACTGACACCTTTTGTGCAGCCAGGCCTTGTCTCTGGGAGGGTGTGCTGTGCCTTGCCTTTCCTTCTCGAGGCTGCCTGCTGGCTGGCTAGGGCAGCACTCATGAACTGCAGTGCAGCAGCACAGGGCCTCAGAGGGCTGTGGCCCCAGGCAAACAGGAAGGCGTGCTGGGCCTGGACCGCCCGCAGGGCCGCTGGCTCCAGCTCAGCATCCTCGCATTCCAGTGAGACTTGCCTGTGGGCCTTTCCCTGGGCCAGTGCCTGCTGAGGGTACCCTGCAGGGCTGTGCAGCTGTGCACGGCCCTCCTTTCATCTTCCATTCTCCGGACCACATGGCTGACTTTCTCTGCAGCTTCTGGGCTCAAGCCTCACAGGCCACCATCCCCCCCACCTCTTTACCTTTGAAGCTTGCCTCCACCCGCCCCTGCCCCTCCAGCTAATTAACAAGTTCTCCAAAGTGGGCAATACATTAAAGCAGATTGGAGACTGCTGCTGTAGTCCAGAGGGGACTGATTTGGATGCTCGAGGCCAAGATGGGGCCCTGAACCACAAGTGTTTTTGTCTGATTGAGTTCCAGGCCTGCTTAGACCACTGGTATAATGATAATTAACATTTATCCCAGGCCACTATTAGCCCATGTGGCTAATTTAAAAAAGGCACCGCTTTCTCTGGTGGGCACAGCCCCATGCCAGGGCATGCGGCTCGGTGAGCAGAATGTGGGCTGAATTTCAGCTCTTACATGCTGCCTGGGACAGGCTCCCCTTGTGCAGTGAACAACCTGCACCACCATGTGTGGTATCCCTGCATTTATTGCTTCCTTACTGTGTGCCAGACTCTGTTCTCTCAACAACCCCATAAGGTAAGTATAATAGAATCCCCAGTTCACCATTAAGAAAACTGAGGCACTGAGTGGTTAAGTTGCTCAAAGTTACACAGCTCCTACCCACCATCCCGAGCTTAGCTGAAGGTGGAGCGGGAAGAATGTGGCTTCCAGGTTAGCCAACTGAAATGGGGCTAGCAGGGCTGTTTTCTTTTTCTCCCCCTGCAGACATGGCTGGGCAGCTGCCCCTGGGGCCTCACCTCCAGGACCTCTTCACCGGCCACCGATTCTCCCGGCCTCTGCGCCAGGGCTCTGTGGAGCCTGAGAGCGACTGCTCGCAGACCGTGTCCCCAGAGACCCTGTGCTCTAGTCTGTGCAGCCTGGAGGATGGGTTGCTGGGCTCCCCGGCCCGCCTGGCCTCCCAGCTGCTGGGCGAAGAGCTGCTCCTCGCCAAACTGCCCCCCAGCCGGGAAAGTGCCTTCCGCAGCCTGGGCCCACTGGAGGCCCAGGACTCGCTCTACAACTCGCCCCTCACGGAGTCCTGCCTTTCTCCCGCCGAGGAGGAGCCAGCCCCCTGCAAGGACTGCCAGTCGCTCTGCCTGCCACCAGTGGGCAGTTGGGAACGGCAGCGGCAAGCCTCTGACGTAGCTTCTTCTGGGGTGGTGTCCTTAGACGAGGATGAGGCAGAGCCGGAGGAACAGTGACCCAAATCATGCCTGGTGATGGCATGCGTCCCCTGGCTGCTGCTGGGGGCAGAACCTCATGTCCACGTGTGGGCATGAGGCTTCCAGCAGAGCTCCAAAGCCTGGAGGGCTCCTGGGAGCACTCACTCCTCCGTTGTGTGTTTTGCATGAAAGTGTTCGGAGAGGAGGCAGGGCCAGGCTGGGGGCGCATGTCCTGCCCCCACCCCTGGGGTTTGCCGGGAGTTGCCCGGGGCCTCTGGGGCATGGCTGCAGCTGTGGCAGACAGTGATGTTCATGTTCTCAAATCAAAAACGCCACATACACATTTCCTCCTCAGATGATGTGAAGCCCTAAGGGGGCGGTTTTGCCTGGGCTGCGTGGGACAGAGTGGAGGGAGCCCGCCCCCGCCATGCCTCTCTCCCCTCTGCTTCTCTCCTCACTCCCGAGTCCATGTGCAGTGCTTGACAGAATCACTCCCACGCGGGGCGAGGCGGGCTGGGTGTCACCCTCCTGGAGCCTGTGGCTTGAACCGTCCCCAAGGGCCCCTCGCCCGGCTGGGCTCGTGCTGTGCTTCACCTCTCCATCATCTCTAAATCTTCTTCTTTTTCCGTAAGAAAGAGGGGTTTTGGTCTGTTCTTTCAGTCGGATCTTCTCTGGGAGGCATTAGAATGATGAAAGCATGGACCCTCTACCCTTTTCCTGGACCCTGTGATGGGGTCTGGGCCCTTCCCAGTTCCTTGTAGGATGTGTGGGCAGGGTCCTCGTGGCTCCCAGCACACCAGACTGCTCCATTCACCCAGAGTTCTCTTTAGGGTGGAGTTGGAAGGGGTGGCTCTGCTTGCTAGAGCTGCGACTTCGATGTTCTTCCAGAGAGGGCCACAAGGGGGCCACAGGGGTGGCCGGGCAGTTGTCTGCTGATGCCTAAGCTGGGCAGGAATTGTGCCAATGAGTGACAGTCATGAGGGAGTGTCTCTCCTTGGGGAGGAAGGAGGGTTAGTGCCTTTCTTGGCTGAACGAAAGGCCAAAGCCACTGTACTGAGGGCCTCTGCCCTAGCTAGTGTGGATGACCAGCAGTGGAGGCCTCTAGAGCCTGCATTCCACGGACAGCAGGCACTGGAGTTTTATGGCCGTGAGGGGTGGGGGTAGCTGCAGAATTCGGAACCTTGTAGGCTTTGGCAGGTAAGAGGGCCCAAGGTAAGAACAAGAGCCGATGGGCACAGGCATTCTATATATAAGTGGCTCATTAGGTGTTTATTTTGTTCTATTTAAGAATTTGTTTTATTAAATTAATATAAAAATCTTTGTAAATCTCTATATACATCTGGTCATTGGAGGTTCCAGTATAAACCCATCTTAGTTCTACCCTTTTCTCCTCCAAGGGGGAACAAGGTCAAGGGTCAAGTGATCCCACCCGCATTCTGCCAGGGCAGTGCTGATCTTCCTGCCCTTGGAACGCTTGCTGCAGGTGGGTGTTGGGTGAGATTCCAGGTAGGATGAACTGGGAGAAGCTGGCACCCAGGTGTGGAAGGGGGGCTGGGGCTCCAGCCTTCAGCTGCAGCTGCCTCCTGCTTTCCCACGGCAGAAGGAATAGGGAGCTGCAGGATCTGGGCTGAGGGCCACAGCCACCGCCATCCCAGGCCACCCATTGAGGGGTTCACTGGCACTTGTCATCACTGTCAGAAGGGCTGCCCTCCCGGGGGAGGCCGTGGTGGGAGCGGGTCCCCCAGAGTGCATGCACCTCAGTGGTCTCTGTGTCGCTGCTGCTGGTGGCACTGTCACGGAAGCTGGCGAGGGGTGGCCGGACTTTCACGCCCTGTGCTGTGACAGAGCCCTCGATAGCCTTCCGGAGCTGCAAAGGTGAGAGGGTCAGATGTGTGGACTCAGAGGTCCCCGCTCAGACTCCTCCCTGTCACTTTCCCAGTGAGCTGGACATAAGCCTCCACGCCTTTTTCAAAGTGGAAGTGGCTCTGACGGTCACTATCATCTCACCTCCTTCAGGGTGACAATTCCAATGAGTCTGCCAATACTGGTGACATAAGCATGGTCCACTCCCAGCAGTGAGAAGATGGTGTGAGTCTGTGGGGCGGGGAGAAAATACATTGGACTTAACGCACGAGGGGACAGCTCTAAGTTACAGGCCAGTGGGGGCCCAAGACAAGGTGTGAGAAGAGAAAAGGGGCATCACAGGTGGTGGGGAGCGGGGGCAGGACCACGAGAGGGAAAAGAAGAATGAGAATGCTTCTGCAGCCAGGCCTCAGAAACTTGACAGTGGGAATCTTTACGTTGCTTATGTTAATGGAGAAATGGACAGAGGAAGGATTCTTCATTCCAAGTTAGAAAGGAGGATGGAAGAGAATAACTGAATATGACATCTAATAGTTGGCCAGGCACTGGGCTAGGGCCTTCTTACATTAGCATTGAACATCAGAACCATCCTGGGAAGGTAGCATAATACCCATTCTATAGGAGAGGCAGCATGAGGCTCAGTGGTAAGTGACTTGCTTGAAGTCACCAGTAAGAAGTGGCCTAGCAGTCCCAGGCCACTTTCATCACACTACACAAGGAGGCAGCACAGCCCCAGTCGTCCTATGCAGACATCGATTAGTCTTGGTATATCCAAGAGGGAGGGTCCGCACCCTGACTTAGGGGTACTGGCCCTGAATCTTGTGCCTCTCACCCTACCTTTGTGGCTGACACATGCTCCCCATTGGCCCTCAGCTGGCTGGCCAGTTAAGATAACCCGTCACCCTGGCTCCAACACCCCAGTCTTAGCCTGAAGCCGTCGACATCTCTCACGTAGTTGGCCTTTTCTGGGGCCCAAGTAGCATCCCAGGTCCTGTTGAGACGGAGCTTGTGGTGCTGGGGGACAACAGTCACCCCCCCCCCCCCCGGGTTTTTCTTGCTTTGGGCCCTCCCCCAAGCTTTCCAATGGAATCACCAAGGGGGCAGAAATTGTCAGCCAGTTCCCCTTGTGCTCTAAGTGGATTTTCTTGGGCCAGATGTTTTGAAAAGCACTCTACTGACTCAGCAGTTCCTGGAATTTTTGGCCCATCATCTATTGCACTGTTTTGAGTTTACTTATAAGCCTCTTGGCTTCATGTTTGAATCAAATTGGGTATTTTTAACCCAGATTCTTGACACCAGTTATTCAGAATTCATTGTGATTATCTTAACACTTTTAAAATGTTTTCTTACACAGTCGCTAAATTCTTTAGGAAAGGACTTCCAGAACTTTCCTAACTTTCTCCATCTAAGGCATGACAGTACTTTAAAAGGAGCTAGAAGTTCAGTCTTAGAATAAGCTTTTCTGTGCTCCTTCAATACCTGTGCCATAACTGTCATGTGGTTAGCACGTTCCTCCTCATATCTAACTTGAATCCTGCATGCAGCCAGTTATCTTTCCTCTCCTCCTCTGACTTCAGAGGGAAAACATCTTTATTTTAAGATTTCCTATTTTCATAATCCCTTAGCCTTGTCTTCTTATGGTTTAATAATCTCTCTCATCTTCTCCCAAGGATCCTATTTAATTTTCTTTTTCTCCACAGTCCTAATTAGAGTGAGCGTCCGGTAGACTATATACCTTTTAGGTTTGCAAACCCCTTGTCCCAGGCAGTCAGCAAGCCTTACCGATCTACTTCCTGAACATCCTGGCCATTCTTCCCGACTCACTCACATCCTCACCAGGATGGGCCACAACATCCTAACGGGTTCTGCTTTCCACCTCCCTTCCCTCCATCTTGGTTCTACCCATCCTATGAGCTTTGAGTTAGAGCCCAGACTCCCCAAAATGGTCCATAAGACCCTCCCCAAACCAACCCTGGGCCTGTCTTTTCAGCCTCAGCTTATGCCAGGCACCCCAGCTTCCAGCATAATCACTCATTCTTTTCTGAAAACATCCATTTCTTCCACACTTCAGCCCTTTCCTCCTTACACCACCTTTTAAAGTCCCCTATTGTTCACCTCTCAGTGTAAGTAGTAGCAGCAGCAGTAATTCCTAACATATATTGAATACTTACTATGTGCCAGGCACTGTTCTAAGTGCTTCTAGAGAAGTATCAACTTTTTTAATCCTCAGAAAACCCTATGAGGGTAGGTACTATGATCCCCATTTCACAGATAAGGAAAGTGAAGCATAGAGAGGTTAAGAAATTTGCCAAGGTTACACAGCTAGGTAACTCATGGCAGAGTGAGATCTGGGTTCAGCCACTCTGGCCTCCTGCTGGCACTCTAGGCCCCCCAATCTCCCCCACTCCCACTGCTTCTCTGTAGGTGGCTTCTGAATGAATGAGGTACTCAGCTGGTAGTCTCCACTTGCACAGGTTCCTGAATAGTCTCCAATGTATTCTCCCTCCGCTCTGAGTGTTCCTCTCCTGAACTTAATTGGGCTACTACTTATTGATTCCTCAGGCCTGCAAAGACATTCTGAAGTCTAATCTTTTAGGTTCTTATCGCTTCCAGTTCTTTGTACTTTTGTTAGTCAGTTCCTCAAAGGCTTCTTCTCTTCCTCTGATTTTTAAGTTTGTAACAAACACCTACTTTGTTCTTTCTCATTTTAATTTAATTAGACACCAGGGAGCCCACTGGAGGGCCTGTACTTCTTTGGCTTGGGAACAGTGAATTGAAAGGGAGAGGGACCATGTGGCCTTCTGAAAGAATCCTGGGATTGGGGCCAGGAAGTCTGGGCTCTGGGCCTGACCCTGCTATGCTGACTTGGGCAAGTGCCCTCCTCCCTGCCTCAGTTTCCCCATGTGTTAAAATGGTTAAATGCACAGGCTTTTGAGTCAGGTCATCTTGGAGTTCAGGCCTGATTCTGCTACTTACCAGCTGTGTGACGTTGGACAACTTGCTTAACCTGTCTGAATGTCAGGGTCCTCATCTATAAAAACTGAAATAGCATAATATCTATCTTACGGTGTGGTTGTGAGGATTAAATTAACCATGTAAAGAGCTGAGCCCAGTGCCTGGCACACAGCAGACACTAACAAGACATCAGCATTATCATCATCATCATCATTATGCGATATTTGAGACTAAGAAAAATGATAGAAAAGCTTTAGAGGTCTTAGGAAGAAAGGCTTTAAATATAAGCCAAACGTATTCTTCTCAGGCCTCTCTCCTTTTTATCTTGCAACTACACTGCAGTTCCCCACTCGCTTTGATCCAAGGGCTTTACCCAAAGGCTTCTAAGTTCCTTTATTACCTTTTGCTTTTTTGTGTCTCTTTTGTCTCCTGTCCTTCCTGCCCCGGCCCCTGCTTGTCCGTGCTAGGCTGGCCTTTAGGCACAGCTGGCGTCTAAGCTAGCCGCCCAAGCTGCAGACCTTGGGAGTGTCCCCCACTGCCACCAGCCCCACCTCCATGCTCAGAGGCTTGCACATTAAATCTGTCAACAACTTAGCTAAAACACCCCTGGGTTTCTGCCCTAGCAGCCTGCCGGGTGTGCCTACACACCCTGCCTTCCCATAGAAGCCTGCAGGTGCCCAGTGATGCCCCGGCCCCATCCTGGGGAGCCCTTGAGGCCATCCTCCACAGAGAACTCCGCCCTCCTTTAGTGTCGGCCTCACCCACCACCAACCTGTCTGTGCTCAAGTTTTCTCTACATCTCTGCAGGCCGCTTTGCCCTTCTGCTGAGCCATCTTCCTGTGTCCCTACCCGTTTTCCTTCGGCCCACATTAAGTCAGACTTTCTGGGGTCTGACATTCCAAGCCCCCAACTGGGCATTTCTCATCTTTGTTTATCTCTTCGCTGCAGTGTCTCCACCCCTACTTGGATGTTGGTTAGCTTGTTTATTAGATTTTCTTCTCCTGCCTGTTTCTCACCCATGTTTTTCCGCGTGGATGTATCAGCCTTGTTGGGCGCTGGCAGCCTCCTGCCTAGCTCTGACCCTAGCCTGGCCTTCTGGCTTCCACCCATCTCAAGCCTTGTCTTTGTTGCTGCTTTGGTCCAGAGTTCCCTGGGGGCAAGGCTGAGCAGAGGAAAAATGATGCCTGGCTCCACTGCAGGCAGGAAGAGGCTACGGGGCCCTGGCTCCCGGCCTCCCATCGTTTGAAGCAATGTGTTTGAAAAACATCACGGCACACAGCCCATTGTCTGCTGTCGCTTTTTCCCCACTGGCCTGAGTCTAAACTTGTGGGAGGACCTAGATCCCCACCCTGTACTCCCAATAGCCTAGGCCAGCCCCAGGCTGCTGGCCCTACCTTGTGCAAAGAGGTCCGCTCCACCAGCTGGAAGGGGGCAGGGTCAATTTTGCAGTCACTGAAGTTGACAGGTTCATCTAGTTGCTGCTCCTCCCACTCCAGAATCTAGGGGACAAGACTAGGAAGATTAGGGAGAAGGTGCCAATAGCTGCTCTCACCTCCCTACAAGCTGGCCTGCCTTTTTCCTACCCCAGTGTCCCTCCCATGGGGACAGCAGCCAATTTGATGACTGAACACACCCAGGAAGAAACAAGGTCCAGAGTCCAGTCACAACTTACCTCCTGAGGGGTCATCTCGCCTTCCAGGTCCGAGGTGCTCTAGGAGAGAGGGAGCAAGGTTGGCAGCTAGGTGTTGGGGGGAGGTTGGTGTATCCTCCCGGCTCAGGGGAGGTTTACTCTGCCTAGACCTTGGCCCTCCCTGCCTAGTGCTCCTGGGCTGCTGGAAGAAAGGGAGCACTTACCGTCAGGGAGATTCGGACCCGCTTCAGCTTGCGCTTGTCACATGATCCCAACTTCTCCAACTTCGTTAGAGTCAAACCAGAGAGAAGAGGAGTTGATGTTATAGGGGGGAGGGAGGCGAGGGGGAGCGGTGGAGCGCAGGAGGAAGGGCACACTGCAGGGACAGAACTGACATCTAGGAGGGCAGAAGGGCAGGCAGAATGGAGGCAGGCATGCAGGGTTAATGGGGAGGTTGTCGCAGTGTCAGAGAGACAGCTGGAAAGAAAGAGCCGATGGAGAGGCTCCAAGCACTCACCTTGGAAGCAGCCTCAGGGGGTGGACTGCCACAGAACAGGCTCCTGAGGGTGATGCCTGCCGGCTCTATGTTCCCTGTGTTCCCAAACACAAGGCCCGGGGTGGCAATGTCATCTTTGAAGAGGGGAAAGGGCCAGGAGAGGGGAGGAGGCCAAGGGGAGAGGCGTCCTGGTTCTACCCCTGGCTCATGTGGGCAGCTTTTAGCTGGGGTGTGCTCCAGCACAAAGGCTGGAGAGGGATCTTGTGGACTCACGGGCCGGGCTCCGGCTCTGTTGGAGGACGGAGGGGAGCTGCTAGCAGGAGATGGGCTCACCTGTGGGACTCTCCCCGAGGTTCATGGTGTTGCTGGATCCCCTCTTGAGAGCAGGCTTCAGGGGCTTGTGAGTCTCCCCGTGGGCTGCAGGGAAGCCTGAGTCCTCTGTGTTCACCTGCCCAGGTAAGAAGGGGCTGGTGAGACTGTGGCCCCAGATGACCTCTAGGTTGCCCTCCCAATCAGTCTACGCTATGACATTTAGGAAGTTTGTGTGGCAACGGGGCTTTTTCACTCACCTGGAAGTGGACAGAGGTCTCAGGGCTGGGGGGACTCTCCTGATCAGATGGTGGAGAGATCTGGGCAGCTCGACGCTCCTGCATGTACTGCCGCCGGCGGGCTGGACTCAGCTGGGCCCCCAGCAATGCCACCACCTGCGAGCGCTCGATGGAGCCCAGAAGGATCATGGACTCTGGATAGAGCAGGTGGGAGGACTCAGGAGCCAGGGGTGAGGCCCTCCCACCCCACCCCATGGCCTTCTCTCACATCCAGATGGGGCCTTGGACACAGGCCACACACCAGAGGGAAACCCCTGGCTGGCAAATGCTGACCCATTCCCTTTGGAACCGAGGAGACTGGTCTTAAGCCCCTGTCCCTGCCCCCTTCCTAAGCAACAACCCTGGGAGATGGTCCTAGCACCTGGGCCCCCTCCTGATCTCACCAGGGGACTCCACTAGAGCCAACATGCGGCCCTTGGTCCTGTGTAGTGCCAACCGCAGGTCCCGGAACGTGCAGTTGAGGGCGATGTGGGGAACATCTCGCACCATGATGTCCTCCACTCGCAACCGGTACTGCCTGGCAGCAGAGAGAGGCACTTGGTTTGGTCAGGATGGGGAAGGTAGCCCAGAGCATTACCATCCCAGGGCCATAAGGAAGGTCTCAGAGTCCACGGGGACAAGGGTTAAGGGCCAAGGAGTACTCCCTGCCCTCATTCTGATCAGGCAGAGCCAGCCACAGCTCTCCCAGCTTGTGGACAAGGGCAGCTCTGGCCAGGAGGGAGCAAGGTGGCTGGTCTTCCAGCTTCACTGGCTGAGGATCTTGCTGGAGGTGGGGATGAGGGGGTCCTAGGACACCTTTGACCCCTCACCCGTACCCCTCTTGTTACCCAGCCCTCCGTACTGGTGGCGGCCCCAGCCCAGCTCAGGCAGATAGGGCAGTTTCTTGATTCGGATGATGCTGTCGTAGAGTGAGGGCTGTAGGCTCTGGGCAACAGCATTGGCCAGGATAACGGCGATCATGACGGGCAAGATGTGGGCGATCTGGCCTGTGAGCTCGAACACGATCACGGCCGTAGACACTGTGTGTGTCACTGCTCCTGACAGCGCAGCTGCCCCTGGGGACAGTCACTCTCAGTCTCCCTAGGGTGCCCAGGCCCCAGATGACCCTCCCCACCGGGGGACAGTCCTGTGGGGGGCCCTCGGGGCCTCTCCAGTGCAGTCCTGGGGATTGGACTTCTGCATCTGAGGGAAGCCTGGTTTCTGCCAGCAGGGGGCACCAGAGGCTCAGACTCTTGGGTCCCGCCAGGGGTCTTCCCAGACAGACTGGCACTTGGAGCACTCACCCACCACTGCATAGCCCCCTGGCACAATCCTGTAGGTGCTGCTGTCCGTGTGAATCCCATCTGGGAACCAGGCAGCCATGCTTTCGCCCACCAGACGCCCAAATGCTGCTCCTTCAGGGAGGGGGGTGGGAAGAGAAACTGGTAGTGGAGGGGGAGGGCGGGGGCGCTAGGAAAAGAGAGGGTCAGAGGGTAGGGGAGGGGCCAGTGGGTCATTCAGTGCAGGGGACATCCCTGCAGGGGTGGGGTTTGGGGCTGGGGCTGGACCAAAACCCGCTCCCAGGCAGAGTGGGGATGGCCAGGGGGTGGCGAGAGGGTAGGAAGGCTGCAGGCTGGGAGAAGAGGCAGCTGAGGACTCACCAATGACAAAGACAGGCATGAAGGCCCCACAGGGCACTGGGATGGTGGTGGCTAGTGCAGACATCCAGAACTGCAGGCAGGAGGTGGTTCAAACAGGTGGAGGCGCCACCCGGCCCCAGGCTGCCCCCAGCTCCACCCCAAGGAGTCTATCTTATCAGTCAGGCTCCTCTGTCCCAGCTATCCCAGAATCCCCCAGGTGAAGGGAAGGAGAAGGACTCTAGAATTACATGGCGTGGGTTCAAATCTTTGCTCTGCCATCTAGCTGTGTGACTTCGGGCCAATTACTTAACCTCTTTTTTTTATTTTTTGAGGAAGATTAGCCCCGAGCTAACATCTACCCCCAGTCCTCCTCTTTTTGCTGAGGAAGACTGGCCCTGAGCTAATATCCATGCCCATCTTCTTCTACTTTATATGTGGGACGGCTACTACAGTGTGGCTTGACAAGCGGTGTGTAGGTCTGTGCTCAGGATCTGAGCTGGTGAACCCCGGGCCGCCGAAACAGAATGTGCGAATTTAACCGCTGTGCCACCGGGCCAGTCCCCTTACTTAACCTCTTTTGAGCCTCGACTTCCCATCTTTCAAACAGGGAGACTACTAGTACCTTTCTCATAGCTCTGTGGTGAGGCTTAAAGGAGTTCAGGTATGGAGAGTGCTTGGAACAGTGCCTGGCACCTAGTAAGCCGATGTCAACGTTAGCTCTACACGTGTAAGGAGCCCCACCTTCATGAGAATAAAGATGACCAGCGTGAGGAAGACGTTAGCACGTGGTGGGCTCCAGGCCTGTGAGGTTCCGGGAGGCTCCAGATCCTCCACCAGGCCCTGGCGGACCCACGTCCGGTTGTCAAACAGGGTGACCAGTGTCTCCTTCTGTGAGAGCTATAGGTGAACAGGGTGCCTCAGGCTGGGGAACAGATAGGACGAAGGAAAGGGGCCCAGGGGAAAGCCGGGGGAACAAGGGATCCCACAGTCATACTGGGGCTGCTGACTTTAGAAGGGACGATTCCCAAGGGAAAGCACAAGTTCCTGTCCTGCCTGGGGTTACCTGTCCGGCCATGAACTGTCCAAAGCCAGGAGGGAAGGTCAGAGTGGAGATGAGCAGGGTCACCAGAGCCGGGAAGAGCAGGCGTCTAGAGATGCAGGTTTCAGAGCATCAAACATGGGTGTGCACCTACTCCGACTGGTGACAGGGTTGAGGTCACAGCAGAACCTGGGCTCTTACATGCAAGCACGCAGTTCTGAGAGAAGCTCCCCTTTGCTCTTCGTGATATCATGGCCCAAGGGTGATGGCCGTGTGGGGTTATTATGAGCCTGAATGCCTTTCTATTGGCTCCTGACTCCCTAAGTGGGTAGCAGTGACAGAAAGCCCACCCCCAGCCCTCTCTTGGACACCTCTGAGCTGCGACTCCTTCCCCTGCCCTCAGAAGCCCCCACTAGGGTGCATCGGGTGAGAGTGGGGAGAATTTTCTGCCTCTGTTTCTCTGTGGTGACTCAGAGTGAAGGTCAGTGTTAGGGAAGCTGGGCTCACTCATGAAGCTGACCAAGGGTGCCACAGGGAGCAGGTTCAGTTGGCTGTCCTTTCCCTGAAGGACAGCAGTCCCAACAGAAGTCACGTCTCAGGCCTCCCCACTCCCAAGTCCTCAGGGTCACAACTGAGAGAGCTGTGCCCCAGAGATGAAAAAATCCCTCCCATCTCCATGCTTCATGGGAGAGAAACTGAGGCGCAAATATTCTCCAGGGTGCACTGCTCTCTGGGCCAGGCCGAGGGCCTAAGGCAGCCTCAGTCTTTGATCCAAAATACCCTCTGCCACTCACTAAAAATTCAAAAGTGCCCATTTTCAGGCAATTCATAAAAAGCCAAAATGTTCAATCAGCCTGGAAAACACGACGGGGTGATTTTCTCAACTGAGTGCCTGTTTTTTGACTGGGCCATTATTTGCCATCTCACCTGTCACTGCCCCCACCTCCCCACTGGGACCCTCACATGACCCCAAGCAGCCTAGAGAGGAGCCCGGAAGCAACTCACTTCTTCATGAGGAAGCGGTTGATGGTTTTCTGCTTCCGCATCACCTGGACAATCTTCCGGTTCAGGTAGACGAAGAGTGCTCCCCCGAAGCCACTGGCAATCCTGGAGAGGGAAGAAGCCCCAGAGTACAAGGAGGTCTTCCCTCTCTTCCCTCTTCCTCTCTGACACACCAAACTCCCTCAGCTCCTCACCCAATGACAGCAAAGGCCGGCAGCTCCTGGAGGTCAAAGGGGAAGTCAAGCCGGAATCGGGTTTTGAAGAGAGCCGTAATGGTCTCTGAAAGGAAGGCACAATAGCAGAGGGAGGCAGGGGTAGTGCCGAGGGCCCCCACCCGAGTCATCTCAGGGGCTCCCCTCATTCCCCAGGTCCCCCCCACCTTCATCACGGTTCCAGACTGCCAAGACCCGGAAGATGAAGGCACTGAAGGTGGCAGCAAAGAAGCCCCGCCAGTAATTCCGCACAGCAAAGAAGGTGGAGGTGACTTCAATGCTGAACAGGACGCCTGCGAGGGGGCAGGGGAGAGCGCCACTTGAGGCCTGGGCCTGGTCTAGGGATGCAGGCCCAGATGAGAGGGGCAAAGGAGAGAAGGCCAAGGGCAGGACTGGGGGGCTGGACGGACTGCCGACCTCCAATAGGTGCTGCAAAGCAGCAGCCCACTCCCACGGCACAGGCAGCAGCCAGCATCTCTGTGTTCCGGGATTCATTCTGGCAGGAGCAGTGGAAAGGAGAGTCAGCACGGGCTCAGCAGCCCACTCCTCCCCTCTGCCTTCCCCCAGGGGCCGCTTTACCTCATAGATGCCTCCGAAGAGGGAGAGGAACTTGCTGAGCAGGGCAGCACACATACTTGCGATATGCACAAAAGGGCCCTGCGGGGTGGGGGCAGGCGGTGAGTGGGGAAGGGCACACCCTGACCTTGGCCTGGCTTCTTCCCCCGCTGGGAGGGACTCCTCCACTCCCCAACCGGCAGTTACCTCTTTGCCGAGGGGCATCCCACTGCCCAGGGCACAGGTCAGCCCAATGACCTTAGCTACAAAGGTCTTGAGGGTGAGGTATTCCTTCAGCACCACTCCCCGCAAGATGGTCTTCATCTCAGGGATGCCAGACCCTGGAGAGGGTACAGTCCCAGGAGAGTCATCCGATGTGCCCGTTTCAGGAGGTCCCATCTCCGCCCTCCCCTGCTCTCCTATCTTACCAACAGCCTGCGGAGCCAGGATCTGTGTGAATCCAGCTGAGAAAGTGATGAGGACGATGGGGTAAGTGACCCAGGCCAGGTACTGGAGCAAGAGGCTGGTGTTCAAGCCCCGGGACATCCACTGCTGAGCTGTGGGGAGAGGACATGCCGCTGGACCCCTGATGTGCACACCCAGTCCCCGCCTGGCCACTGGGACATACGGATATGACAAGCTGTCCCAGGGCATACTGCACAGAGCCTGGGTTCAAGGAGTAGGGAGGGAGCCCTGGAGGGCATTCATCGGGACAAAGATCACCATAGGTAAGAGAGTCAGATGGAGAGGCAGGCAAGTTGTGGCCTAGGCGAGCGGCAGTGAACACGCCTGAAGATGGGGCAGTCAGGCTGGCCGGGCAAAGCGGTCAGTGGCCAAGTAGCCAAGATGCTTGGACAGGTGTGGCATGGAGGAAGCAGGTTGGTTCTTCCCAGCCCTCCCCCTGCCAGCCCTTGTCCTCACCCTGCAGACAGGCAGCGATGGCATAGTCCATGGCCCAGCTGACCAGCGCCATGAGAAGCCCCAGCAGGACCAGGAAGATCCAGTCTTCACCAACCCTGGACACTAGGAACTTATGGCAGTGTACGGAACAGACTGGGAGTGGGGAAGGGAAGAATGAGCAGGCTGGCACGAAAGTACTCCTACCCCTGTCCCCCCCACTCCCCAAAGGGCAGCTCTAATGGCCTCTGTCCCCCTCAGCACAGCATAGCCAGGTCCCCTGCCCCAACCCAGGTCTCACAGCGGCATCGGGTGCAACGGCTCTGTCTGTATTCCAGGAGCTCGGGGGGAGTCCGAGGGGAAGGTGGACCCCTCCAGGGCTCGGGCCCTCCCAGGCGGATCCGAGCAGCTTCCTCTTTGGCAAAGGCCCCAAGCTCCTGAGTGTACCGGCCATACATCTGAGCAATAGGGAAGGTGGGGGTTAGCAGATGTGGGCTGAGTGGCGATGTAGGGAGGGCTCCAGGGGCCTCAACTCCCCTTCTCCCAGCCCCCACATTATATACCCTCTCCTGAACCCACAGTACCCATTTTGGCTTGGGGTGTGGGAACAATGCACATTGCAGACTGTGGGGGCTGTCCTGGCCAGAGTGATGGAGACAGCCAAGGTACAGGCACACAGCTCTGGGGGTGGCAGAATAATCAGTCCTCTTCTCATAGGCCTGGGGGGGGGGATCACTGAGGAGGAGTGGGAGGGAAGTCCCAGAGGAGGAAAGGATGGAAAAACCTAAGGCAGTCTGAGAGTGGGAGGAGGGAAGGTCAGAGAAGAAGGGATGGTCAAGGGCATATGGGTAACAATAAGGGCCTCACGGAGCTGGGGGCAGCTGAGTTAGGCCTAGGAGCAGGCGGGGCCCCAATCCTTATCACGTTCCTGCTGGGCCTCTGGCCTGTGACCGACTCAGCTGTACCCCTCCCACCCACCCTAATCCCCTTGTCCCCATTCTCCACCCCCACCCTCCACCAGCCTGCCAGCCCAGCTGGGAATGGAAAGTCTCTCTGAGTAGTGGAGAGAGGTTGGTGGCCTTGGCCCCACTCTGGAGCTGCCCTGAGTCCAGTGGTGGGTTGGGGGACAGCAGAAGCTGATGGTGGGCTGTGACTGGATGCTGGGGTGGTGGCCCGGAGAGCTGTTGAGCCACAGCTAGACCTGCCAAGCTGGGCGTGTGTTGGGGGGTGGGGACGAGTAGATTCCGGCTGCCACCCGCAGAGCTTCGGGACACAAAGGGCTCCTGTTGGGGCTGGGGCTGGGGCGGGGGGAGGGAGGGAAAGATAGAGACAGAGAGAGAGTGATAGAGAGTGAGGAAGGGAGGAGAGCGAACAGAGAGAGGAGAAAGAGGGGGAAAAGAGAGGCCAGGGGAAGGGGCAGAGGGAGAGAAGGAGAGGGGAAGAAGGGAGGAGGAAAAGAGAATAAGGCAGAGTATGAAGAGGCAGACACAGGGTAGGAGTGGGGAGATGAGTGTGTGAGAGAAAGACAAAGGGACTGGAAGGAGCAGGGGGAGAAGCTGGAGCAGAGTGTGCTGGGGAGTGAGCTTGACCCTGAGAACTCAGTCCAGAGATACAGACCAGGCAAAGGAGATGGAGTTGCGGCTGGCGCAACAGATAGACAGCACTTCAGTGGCCAGGTGCCTGGCTTCGCTGACCAATGCCCCATTCTCAGCCTGGGCAGACTGACAGACACCTCTCATCCTATGTGAAGGCTTGCCCCTCTACCCTTGCTTCACCTACACTCCTGCCACCTCTCCCTGTCATGCTGTTTCATCCAGCCACTCTCTCTTGTAACTGGGCACCTCCCAGCCTCAGTTAAAGCCCAAAGGCCCCACCCTCCTGGAGAGGTTGATTCCCTTCCTCCTTCCTGGGCAAATTCCAGCCCAAGCGGATAAAAATGAACCACAGGGCCCACTCCTTTCCCTATAGTTTGGGTCCTCCACCCCAGTGACACAAGAAGGTGCAAAAGTCTTCTCAAACACTAAGTTATGATGGCTATGAGTCAGCTCAGAGCCCCAGGACCCCTGCTTCAAATGAGGTCAAGGGACACTCCTGGGGAGGGTGAGGGCTGGATACCCAGAGTCAGCATGGACAAAGGTCCCAATTCCCACACCCATTCCTGCTTGACCCATCCTCCCTAAAGCTCTTTTCCCCCAGGGTGGCAGGCCACCTTTTTTCCAGAGAATCGACTGAGGGGTTCCTGCCAATGCTGGGTTGCCAGCCCCAGGTGTAAGGGCTGGGGCTAGGTTTGAGTCTGATTATCTTTCTACACACTCGTTTCTGTGTCTAGCACTCTGCCATGCACATAGTGGGGTCAGAGGGAATGTCTTGGATGGTGGAGAAAGGAGTGTAGAGAGAGAATGTTCAAGGGTGTGAGTGGTGCTGGGGAGGGGTAGTGGGGTGCTGAGACTTGGGCCCAGGTGGTGGGGGGGAGGAGCAAAGAAAATGGGAGGGGGGACAACTGATGGCCTTGTCATCTGCAGGCCCCCAACCTCAGACAGCAACCTGAATGCAGCTTTCCACCCCTGAGCCCTCCAGCCTCTCTGGCCCTGGAGCCTCAGTTTCTCCAGCTCAGAAGGCTGGGGCGAGGTTAGGGTAGGGCCCCGGTCCTCGTGCTTCCGAGGGTAACCCGGAGCAGCGGTTCCGGAGCGCACTCTCCGGGCTCGGCTCGGCTTCACTTACCAGGGTCTGCTCATACTGTAGCGCCCGCGGCTCCATCCCTTCCGCCGCCGCTGCGGCCGCCGGGGCCGCCATCTCCGCGCGCAGCCCTTTGGCCTCCCGCGGCGGCTCGGGCTCCGGCCCGGACTCGGCTGCCGGCCCGCAGAGTCCGCGCCGGTCCCCGTCCCGTCGCGCAGCCCGGGAGGACGAGCGCAGAGTGCCGCGGGCCCCAGGCGGGCGCTGCTGGCGCAGCCACCAGCTCGCGTCCCCTCCTGGGCGGGCGGGCAGAGGGCGGTCCCCTCCGTGCTGCTCCGCCCGCCGGCCCATTCACAGGGGCCGGCCCCGCAGGGCCGGGGTCTGCGTTGGGGCCGCCTCCCAGGCTCCGGTGAGACGGCAGGGGGCGCTTGGAACGCGTGAGTCCGGGCCCCCTCTCCGCCGAGGCCCGGGGCTGAGAGCGGCGCCCAGGGCCCGAGCGGGGGCGGGCCGGCTGGCACGTGGAGGGGCTGGAGACGCCGGGGCTCGGGAGGGTCGGGGGCCGGGGGCTGCAGAGCCCTCTAAATCAGACTCTTAGGCCCAATCTCTCTCTGAGGAGTGGCGCCCTCTCTTGCTTCTCTGGAGGGGCCAGAGGATCAGACGGGCTTGGCAAGACCCCTCTGCTCCGTCGGGGGTGAGAAGCAAAGCTGGGGGGGACTCGGGGAGCGCTAGGCCCAGAAAGTGGCCCGGGGTGGGGTGTGCTTGGAGCTGAGACCCTCGGTCTCTCATCCCATCCCTTGCTCCTTCCCTCCTCGGCTCCGCCAGGGAGGTGCGCCTGGAGCAACCTGGCCTGCCGGGTGTGCGTGGGTGGAAGTGGGGAGGGAGCGCGAAGGGGTGAGGCCCGAGGGAAGGGAGGTCTAGGTGCCGAGGAGGCCGCTCCTGGCAGGCGGGCGTGGGGGAACAGAGGTCACTTTTCCCTGGCAGGGCTCAAGGAGAAACACGATAGCTGCTGACATCTCGCCCTCATGGGGGAAAGGCCTGTTGGGGCTCTGCGTTCTCTATGAGTCCGGAGAAGGACAGAGCAGAGGGTGGAGTGAGCACAGAGTGGATGGGCAGTGTCAGGGGAGAGGCCAGTGCCGAGGAAACAGGCAGTGTGCGGGAGGAGGCAGGTCCAGGACGAAGGGACATGTGGGAGGCAGAGACGGTGCCAGGAGGAGGGGGCAGTGCCCAGGAAGGAGGCAGTGTGAGAGGAGCCAGCACCCACGGGGAAGGGGCAATGTAAGGGAGGAGCTGGTATCCGTGGGAGAGGACAGTGCCAGGATGAAGGGGCACGTAGGAGATCAGCGTCCACAGGGGGAGGGCAGTGGTGGTGGAATGGGCAGTACCAAGCTGATGGGGCAGTGCTCAAGAGGAGGGCTGTGTGATGTGGCTAATGCCAGGCTGAAGGGGTGGTGTGGGGGAAGAAGGTAGTGGTGGGGAGGGTGCAGTACCACGGGAGGGGACAGTGCAGGCTTTTCTCTTCGTCATAGTGATATCATGGCAAATTCCCAAACTGAACAGACCTTGCTCTGGTGACATTGCTGGCCCCGGCTAGCCTGAGGGGCCTTGGTGCCAGCTGGAGGGGCTAGGTACCGCCTCCTGCAGGGTCAGCGCTCTGGGGGCGGGGTTATCCTAGGCCTGCCCTCCGCGCGGACTGTGCCCTCGGCGGGCATGCGGACCGGCAGGGAAGGGCTAGGGCCGGGCTGCTCTGGGACAAGGATCAAGGTCCCTGGCTGGGGCAGGCCCCCACGCATTCCAGTTTTCCGGACGCGGACTCTGAAGAGGGCGCACTGGAGCCTCCGCAGAGAGCGAGAAACCGCGCCACCTCGGCGGAAGGTGGGACCTATTGCGTCCCCGCCCTGGGGCGGAGTTATCTGGAGCCGAGACCCGCCTTCAATGCTGAAGCCTCTCGGAAGCAATCGTTCGGGGCGGAAGTTAAGAAGCCCCGAGAGCAAGGCGGCGGAAGTGGCCTCCTTCCCGCATGTCCATGCGCATGCGTCCTTCTACTCTCTTGCCGCCGCTCTGTAGGCGCTACCGTTCCCCCGCTCCTCTTTTCTCCACGCGAGGGGGTGCGTGTACGCCTAGTCGTGATCGCGCGCTCAGCCCCTTTCCTACTCTTGTGGCCCCCTCACCATGGCGGGCATCCTGTTTGAGGATATTTTTGACGTGAAAGACATTGACCCGGAGGGCAAGAAGTTTGACCGAGGTAGGTAAGCTGTGTAGGGGCGGTTTGGGGTAAGGGGTCAGCCTCCTCCTCGGGGACACGCCTCTGGGCCCCTTGTCCACCCAGCTCACCTCCCTCAGGAAACAGATGAGAAGACTGAGACTCTCGCTCTCCCTGGCTTTGTGCTGTGCCGAGTGCCTGGGTGGCCTTTTCTCAAGGTGCTAGTAGACTCCTGGACATCTTTCCAGTCGCGCCCCACTCTGTGCTAGGCGCTGTACTGTGCCCCTTACACACACTTTGTCTTACTCCTTTCAGGAGTCTCCATGAGGTAGATGGTGTCTTACCCATTTTGCTCCGAGAGGTTAAGTAATCCACCCAGGGCTGCACAGCGTGTAATCCGACTTCAGAGCCTGTATTCTTGTATTGCCTTTAGAATCTTTAGCTGTTTGTGAAGTCCTGAGTTAGAGTTGGCTGCTTGTATGCCCCTCTTTATTCCGTCATTGATCGATAATTACTTCTCCTTGGTGTCTCTTCCTTTGCCTGGAGACAGATGTTTTTCGAGACAAACACCAGTTTTCACACATCTTGATAATCCCCTCAGCATAGCGCCTGGCACAGAAAGACGAAACGTTTGGATGAATGAATAACTTGCCCTAAGTCCGGTTGTTTCTTAATGGCCTAAGTAGGCCTAGAACCTGGATGTTATTTGTTGCCAGAGGACCGTGATTCTTTTCTGGGGATTCTGTCTGCTTGCCGCAGTCTTTCTCCCCTTTCCTCCTTGCATGTCTGGTTCTGATTGAGCCCGCGCTTCTCCGAGAGCAGATGAGAGGCCCGTGGATGCAGACTGGGTTGAATTGAGTGGTCTGCTGCATCCAGGGCCCCAGGGTGGGGTCCGCAGGATATGCCCCGGGCCGGGCAGTTCCCTCTGTCACTCTTTCTCTGTTCCCCTCCAGTGTCTCGCCTGCATTGTGAGAGTGAATCTTTCAAGATGGACCTCATCTTAGATGTGAACATTCAGATTTACCCTGTAGACTTGGGTAAGTATTGCACACAGACAACAGCAGGAGGCTTTTTCCCATGTCGGCTGTTCTTCACCCTCAGATATTGCTGTTATTTTCAGGTGACAAGTTCCGGTTGGTCATAGCCAGTACCTTGTATGAAGACGGCACCTTGGATGATGGTGAATACAACCCCACCGATGACAGGCCTTCCAGGTGAGGGAGTGGAGGAGGGAATACTTGAAATACGCCTGAGGACTAAGAGATAAGTGGTATAGAAAGACCCGTGTTTAATTTGTGGAATAAATGATTATCAGCAGAATTTGAGGAACCTTAAGGAGATTGCTGCACTTAAGAATTCAAACCACCAGGTGTTTATCCAGAGCAGCAATTCCATGCTTGCGAGTTGTGGCTTTTTGGTGGCTGAGGAAATGACCACTGAGTGACCTGGGCTGTTGTGGGCCTTGTGTCTTGCGAGTGAGTTTGGGGTGTTATGGAAAGGCTTTTGGAGCCCCACTGAGTTCAAATCTCAGCCCTACCACTTATTTACTGAATATCCTTTGTGTCGTTCAGCCTCAGTTTCCTCATCAGTAAAATACAGATGGTCATACCTGGCTCACAGCATTGCCATGAGGACTAAACGACCTTGTGTTTGGAAAGGGCCTGCTGTTACAGTGCTGGCACTGAGTTACCAGTTACCTTTTTTTTTTTTAACTTTTTTTGTGAGGAAGATTAGCCTTGAGCTAGCATCTGCCGCCAGTCCTCCTCTTTTTGCGGAGGAAGACTGACCCTGAGCTAACACCTGTGTCCAGCTTCCTTTATATGTGGGATGCCTGCCACAGCGTGGCTTGGCAAGTGATATGTAGGTCCACACCTGGGATCTGAACCAGCAAACCCTGGGCCACTGAAGCAGAATGTGTGAACTTAACTGCTGCACCACTGGGCCGGCCCCGACCAGTTACCATTTTTAAAGGGCCTCTTATTATTGTTAATTACTTTTAAGAATAACTTTGCCACTGTCGTTCTACAGGGCTGACCAATTTGAGTACGTAATGTATGGGAAAGTGTACAGAATTGAAGGAGACGAAACTTCTACCGAAGCAGCGACACGTCTGTAAGTTCCATGGTCTTGTGAAAACCCTCCCCGCCCTGCCCTGTTCTGAGAATCTGGGCCACGCTCATGCTTCTTGTGTGGGGTCTCTCTCGCCAAGCACCTCAGACCTAGGCGGGACCCAGAAAGAAACTGTTCTGAGAGCAGTTTCCAGGCTGAAATGAAGGCTGCTCAGTTTGCCCTTTGTTGGGACCTCAGGGCCTGGTGGTCCACATGGGAAAGTGGTCGTCCTGCTGTGTGAAGTGCAAAGGAAGGTTGCTTCCCCGGGAACTAAATGCAGCATTAAGTGATTAAACTGCCAGGCTTTTTTGTTTTTGTTTATTTGTGTGTGTGTGTGTGTGTTGCTCCTCTGCAACCTGATGCCTCCTTCTTTGGTTTCTCTGCCAAGCTATTTTTTCTTTTCTCCGAAATCTTATTGAAACAATATGTGCCTTTTGTAAGAAATCTGAAAAGCAGAGAAGTAATGTGAAGAAGGAAAAAAAAGTCACCTATAACTCCATATCCAGAGGGAACCTTTTATGTAAACATTTTTGAATATTTTAGGATTTTTTTTCCTGTGTACGTTTTGCTTTGAGATTATGTTGTTTATTACAATGTTTTCTTCTGCTCATTTTGCTTAATGTTATGTAAAACATGTTTCCCCATGTCAGTGTAAAGCTTTGCCTAAACATTCTAATAGGTGCATAACATTCTGGTAAATGGATATATCTTAATTGTTTTGACCATTTCCCATATTCTGGGCATGTAGTATTTTCCACCTTTGCTAGTATAAAGAACACTCCCTTGCACATATCTGTGCATTCATCTTTGTCTGAATTTTGGTTCCTAATGACAAAGCACTAGAAGGTGCCTCTTTTTCATAGGCTAGGATGGAACGCTGCTGAGTAGCAGCTGCTCCAGAGCTCATACTCATGGGATGGCCTTCTGTTTCAGCTCTGCCTATGTGTCCTATGGGGGCCTGCTCATGAGGCTGCAGGGTGATGCCAACAACCTGCATGGATTTGAAGTGGATTCCAGAGTGTACCTGCTGATGAAGAAACTGGCCTTCTGAACCACCCCGGAAACCAGCCTTGCAGCTTAGTCTCTCAGGCCGTGGACATTCATCAAGCCTGAGTGGCAGCTGCTGTTGTTCGCCTGTTCAGGAGGTGCTGGCTCTCTGTCCGTTGTGGCTGCATCTTTAGGTGTTCTGGACTCAATGGGAAACTGACTTGCCTGTGAAAGACCCAGTGGGAGAGCTTAAAATGAATCAGAAGTTTTGCGTATATGATTTTTTAATTAAACTTTACTTTTTCAGACACCCTGCCCTTTTTCAAAAAAATATTTCCATTTACTAAATCATTTTCCAGTTCTCTTATGGTATATTATGTTTCTGGTCCACAGCCAGATGATCACATGTCAGTGTAGGATCTAGCCCAGCCTTTTGGTATCTGGGTTCAGGGCTCTCTTAGTCTCCTGGCTGACCATCCCCAAGATTTACCCTCTAATGTGATTTTTTGTCTGCGGGAGAGAGTGTTGTGCTTTTGGCTCCTGAGGGCACCCCAGGCCTGGAGGATACCACCCATTTGGCATAGAATTTTGAATTGGCGAGGAGCCCTGCTTGTGTGCTTCCAACACTTTCAGTCTCTTAGGAAGTCAGATCACATCGACTTGAATGAGTCACTTGCATAGGCTGGAAATGTTCATCGTTTTTCTGGAAGCTTTAGGTGGAGGCTTTTAGACACAGGCGTGGGACACGACTATGAAGAGGACAGGAAGAGTGGATTTGGTGTTTATGGAAGCAGGTGGAGGAGCTAGCTCTCTGCTCTACATTCCACTGGTGACCTGGAGGGAGGGTAAGTGGTGGTGGTTCTCACCAGTGACACTGAGCAGGGAGCTGCTGTACAGACCAGTGAAGTGGACAGGGCAGCAATACCAATGAGGCTGGCAGTTCAGTGCCAGTGCCCGGGACAGTACAGCAGACTGACTGTAGTAACTAACTTAAAAATGGGGGAAGAACAAAGTTGAAATCGTGATACTTAACAAGGACTCCAGCATAGGAGCTGCGTCTTCAGCCTGGCATTTGGGGTCTCTGAGGAGGTATACGGGACTCTGATTTCCCCCCGGGAAATTCAGTGTAACAATCCAGAAAGACTGTGTGTATTAAGCAGTTGTCCCTTTTGATCTCCCCGGTTTTGCCAGGGGAGGTGGTGCCCCTGCTGGGATGCCTGGGGTATTTCCTTCCCCGTCGTTTTCAGGTCTTTACATGAGGTGTTAGAAATAGTATTTAGGGAAATGGGTTGAAAATGAATGGCCTCTGCAGGGGGAGGGAAAGGTGTTTCTTTTGCTTTACTATGTGGGCTGGGAGGGAATAAGAGATGCAGTGGGGGTTGGGATGAAATTTTTGGAATCCTAGAGCCTTTACGAGGAGTCAGATTTTTTTTTGTGGGGGCGTGGGTGGGCAGAGCGCAAGTTGGAGACAGATTGATTTAGGGTTAGAGTGGGAGAACCTAATTACCAAGAATAGTTTTGTGAGGTAGCATAGCAGACTGTCCTGGCTGCCCCGGGATGGCAGAAGAAAGAAAAATGGCATACAGTTGAATAGAGATAAGAGTGTTCTGGTTGTCATGGTTTTTTTGTTTTTTGAGTAAAGGGAAGAAGGGACAGAATGAGCCAGACAGAATGATTTGGGAATGAGTGAGACCCTCAGTAGAGGCAGATTAGTTCATACTGGAGAACCCCATGAGTTATTTGCATTTTCCCTGGAGTAAGTCACCTGCCAATACTGGATGCCTAGAACTTTCTGGCTACGTACTTCTTGCAGTGTTGCCATGTTTGTCTCTTGTCTGACTGTGCTGAGAACCTTCATTCTTTTTCTCTGGTCCCTTTGGCATATCTTGTCCTGGGGGCTGGCTTTCATGTTCCATAAAGTGTTTCATCTGATCATTAGATTTAACCTACTTTAGTATTTCAGTGAATTAAAATTTCCACTTACCATTCCCTTGACTGCATGCTGGAATTTGTAGTGTGGATAAACTGGTTCTCTCCCATGCAGAAACTGACACCATCTGAGATTCGGACAACACTTGTGAGCTTTGTGCATTTGTTGATTCCTTCTCCATGGCAACTGTTTGGTCCATGGTGGGAGACAGGGATACCTGGAGACGTCTAAATTGGCCACCCCTACCAAGAGCTTTGGTTTTCTACTCAGAACTCTTTAACTGTTGATGCATTTACTCCCTAAGGACTTGGAAATCTTTCCCAGTAAATAGAATCACTGAATGATATATTGGACAGTGAACCACACTGGGGAGAGTATGTGCCCCAGACTAAGTCAGCCTAGGGTGTTTCTTCTTTTCCTGCTCACAGGCTGTGAAACCCTTGGGAACTTGCCTGGCTTCTCTGAGCCTCAGTTTCCTCATCTGTGCAGTAGACATGATAATACCTACCTTGTAGAGTTGTGTGAGTGTTAGAAAAGGTGATGTACATAAGGTTCCTGGCACGCTGGCTTTCATTCTATTGTTTTGCAGTGCCTTTAGTGATCCTGGGGTGTTTGTGGCAGAGTTTGGATCTCTGGGTTTCTGGCTCCTCTATCCACATGGTAGCCTTTCCTCTCCTTTGGGGAGCTGGTAGGGAGAGGAAAAAGCTTCCATTCGTTTTCCTACAAGAGCCTCTGGAGGTAGGTTGACCTTTGCAGTGAAGTTTTTGTTTTGGGCAACATAAACCTCTTCGTAAGCAGCAAGGCAGCATTTATTTGCAAAGCCCCAGAAGCCTAGCTTCTTTTCTAGAGATCCCCAGCAGAGTTTATGGCGGTCCCATGGGGCCACTTTTTAGACACTGTGCACTTCTGGGAATTGGGAAATGAGTCTTCAACTTGTACTTGACTTGTGCTTGTCCCTCCTGCTGTGTGAGCCCTAGGAGACTGACTCATGCCACTTCCTGCACTTCCCCCTGACCTCCACAGGAGGGAGGCAGGCGCCCAGGCCTGCAGGAGCGTCCTGCTGCGCTGCTGAAGCTCTGGCTGTTTGCTCAGCTGTCACATCCAGGTCTTGTCTTGACTGAACCGTCTGCACAGCCTTACCTGGGATGTGTGTCTCTCCAAGGCTTCCTGTTAGCTTTCTTTTCTTTTCTAGGGAGGGGGCGGTCTATTGCCCCCCCGAGAGGAACATCTTTCCCTTGCTTTTCAGTTAGCTTTTGGGTGCCCTCGTTTATTCTTTCTTTATATAGGCTCAGTTTTGTCTATTGTGTAGGGACAGCCTTTCTGAGACAACTTCTCATTCATTTCTGAAGGGTAAGGATCTCCTAAGAAAAGGAGATCAGAGTCCCACAAGTAAAGGAGAAAAAGAGACCAACCTTCGTTCTGAGTAGAAAACTAAACTCTTTTTTGTTTGACATAAGGTTGGTCTCTACCTCGGTTCAGAGGCCAGTCCAGGCCTTTACAGAATTAGTATATGAAAAAAAGCATATAGAGAATTAGTAAGTTGTAAATTTGTGCAGAAAACAGACCAAAGATAACTAGCTGCTCTGGTGAATATTACTGATAGCTTAAAAAAATAGCTTCTCAAGTTTTATAATATACAGTGAAAAACGATCCCTTTGTCTGTCCCGTGTATCCCCCTTTCCCAGGGCTTTGGGTGTCAGGTGAAAGCAGGAAGTCTGGGGCCCCTCCTCCGGGTAGGGGATATTACATGGAAGACGATGCCGAAGGTTGGCAGTGCCTGAGTACCTTACTCTTCCTGAGACAGATTCTGGAAGTGAGGGTGGGCTGCAATTAGGTGAGGACTGGGGGAGCTGGGCATGATAGCAGAGGGGTCAGGAAGTGGGGGTTGGCGCTGGACTGTTGGGGTGGGCAAGATGGGTGACGAAGAGAAGAGTGTGTATTGTCCATTCAGAGGATGGGTTGGGGAAGGAGAGTCTCCAGGCCGGAGGTAGGGTGGCAGGGAGCCTGTGTCCGAAGTTCCTGGAGGAATGTCTGGGCCTCCTAGGGCCCTGGGTGAGGGTCCAGGAAAGAGCCCATGAGTTCCATTCAAGGACCTGTTCAGGTGTCCGGGGATTTGGTCTAGGGACCTGGAGGTTTGGTTCAGCAGACCAGGAATCTTGGCTCTGAAGCCCTGCAGCCTCTTCAGAAGTCCAGAGCCAGTAGTTCTGGCCGAGACCCCGGAGTTTGTCTCCAATAATCCAGAAGTCCTGTTTGGGAGCTTGTTCAGTGTGACGAATAGAGAGGTACTGCTTGGGACAGCTGTGGTGGGTAGGGCCCGCTTGGCACAGAGGGTGGGCCCTACCACAAGCAGCAGGAAGCGCACCTTTCCTCGAAGCAGTTGTTGGAAGCTCAGAAAGATGGCATTGGGATCCTTGTGAGCTGTCGTCCTGCCCTGTGGAGGAAGCTGAGGGCAGAGGATGGGCCTGAGGCCAGAGACCTGGGCCAGCTCTCGTGCCTCCCTTGTCTATGGGAAAGATAGGGGACCAACACCAGGTTTTATGGCGAGGAGGGAGGGAGCACTCCCTAGGTCCACTCTTCTACTCTCAAGATTTCTAGAATTCCCCTTTCTTCCCTCAGGTCTTCTAAGGGGACTGAGTCAGAAAAGAAGGACAGTTTCTATAGTTCCCTTAACTGGGGACTTACCTGGGTTCCAAGGAGGCCCTGCAGGGCCCCAAGGAGGAGGCGGACCTGTCCAGAAAGCTGTCCCAGTAAGGATGAGAGGCAAGTGGGTCCCAGTTGTCCCCGTGCTGCCAACACTCCCTCCAGCAGAAGGGTCGTTGCTCCCAGAACGTCCTGTGCCTTGGTCTGCTCCTGGGAAAGAGATGGAAGGGAGAAGCGGGCTGCTTCAAAGGGCATAGTAATAGCGGGTGGGGAGCCTACAGGAGTAGCCAGCAGAATGAATCATAGGAGCTGAGAATCGGACAGGACCAAGGTCCCACCCAGCACAGGAATTCCTTCACAGCCTCCCGACAATTGGTCATCGGCCTCTGCCTCAATAACTCCAGTGTCCAGTAACCCAGCCTGGTCTTACATTTAACTTCAGTCAGAAAAGTTCTTTTTATGTTTTTACAGTATGCTGAAATCTGCTGTAGCATAGCTTGTATCTCTTGGTTCTAGTGCTGCAAATTACTCTTTCTGCTGAAAAATCTTAGAATCATATGATTTTTTAAAAACTTAGATGAGAGCATCATAAAGATGAAGGAAAGGGGCTTACTGATACATGGCTGAGCTGGAACTACAAGGCTCCCTAGGAACTGCCCTTTGTCCCTGGCCCAGTCCTAGAAGACCAGCAGGGAGGAAGGGAATTCTAGGGCTCTCGAGGGTAGAAGAGCCGACTTTCTAAGGAGCGCTCCCTCCCAGTGGGTTTCCTGAGTCTCAGACTAAAGCGCTCTGTGCTATACCACAGACTACCACTTTTCTCCAAGCTAATCAGACAGGCTTTTTTTTTTAAACCATTCCTCACGTAACATGTTTTCTAACCTCTCACTGCTCTGGTTGCTTCCTCCTCCTCGGCACGTGCTAGTTTAATATGGTCCCTCTGAATAAATTAGCATGTGTCTAGAGGAGGATGTCTAGTACTCAGACCAGTATGTTTAAGTGCAGTCTACTCCGAATAGAGTTTTATAGGAATATTTCCACAAGATGGAAACATCTAAAGCTGCTTAGAATCACGAGCTTTTTAAATAGCTGCTTCAATGTTACGTGCTAAGTTTGGGGTCAACTCTGCCCTTCCAGGTCTTTTTCCTAGTAAGTTCTAGGGTTAGAAGTTTATATGAGGGAAGCAGGGGCATTGTGGCCTGAAAGCTGGAATAGGACTTGACTCAATTACAACATGTAGAATTTTCTATCTCTCTGTTAAATTTCACCTTGTTTTCGACCTAGCCTTTCAGCAATTTGAATCTTGATTCTCTCTTTTGTTATTTTAGCTGTGCTTCCCAGTTTTGCATCATCTGAGGATGACAGATCAGTCTTACTTCTTCATGCCACCTTAAGAAGGTTGAATGGGAATGGGTCAAAGGCATGGCCACAAGAGACTTCCGTCCAGCTTTTCTTGGTGTTCGGCTTCGAATCTATTTAACATACTGGGACCGCAAGCCATCATCTTGTCCAGAGGATATCATGGTAGAATGTAGATTGGGTTAGGGTGGCCAAGCTGAAGGTGAGATATTTTTAGGGAGCTCAGGAATTTTGAAGAATCCATGGGAAGCAGTAGGAAACTGATGAAGACAGGACTTAGGGAAACCAAGGGAAGGATGGCTGTCTTACCGTCTGGGTTCTCCATTCTCCCAAGCTAAAGTCCACAGCAGGCAGCAGGACAGGTGTGGACAAGGGGTTAACGTCCGGGCACTGGCTCTGTTGAAAAAGGTTGGGGGTGGGGGAGAAGGGGCTGAAACAGAGGGGACTGTGGTGGCCCAATCACCAGGATAGGCTTCCACAGGTAACATATCCAGACTAGAGCTTTTAGAAGGGCTTGATTACAAATCATAATCCCTGTCAAAGAGTAGTGATCGGGAGGTGGTCATCTTACTGAAAAGACAATACTGGAAGAACGGTGATTGGATGGGGAAGTGAGAGGACGTATTAGGAGTGAGGGTATCTTACCAGTCGAATGGATAGAGGGGAGAGTGCCTGGGGATTCTCACCAGTCTGCTGTGAAGGACATGGGAGTCACGAAGCAGTTTATTTAGGAGTCGGAGGTCACAGGCAGGAGGAGCCGGGCTGGACAAAGTTAGTTGTGCCTTTAGGAGAAGCATGACCACGAGGAGCAGTTCTTAGATGAGGAGAGGTGAGGTTGAAAGGGGTGGATAAGGAAGAAATCATTGTCGGGTGGTGGTCCAGGAACTCCCATTTGGGACCCAGACCTGAAATCTAGGGAATCTGCTGCTCAGAATCCTTATTCCTGGGAGGTTGGGCTCCCCCAGCCCTCCCACTGCAGCCCACCTCCTTTCTCTTTCCCCCTCTACTGTGCTCCGATTTGGCCCTAGGCCCTCAGGTATGTTCTTACCAGTCAGCTCCATTCTGGCCCGGCTGTCTGGTTGAAGTGGCTCCCTGTGTGGGGCCTCTCCCCTGAATCCTTCCTGGGGCCATGGAGGCGGCTTGGGCTCTTGTACTTCTGGGCAGAGTGGGGTGGGGCACAGGTGGGCCGAGGAAGAGGGTCTGGAATCTGTCCTGCAAGTGACAGGAATAATGAACATTTAATCGGGTTTCAAGGAAAAGCCTACCTGGCTGGGGGAACAGAGGCTGGGAGGGCTTGAGATGCTGACCAGCCTAGAACTGCTCAAGCTCTGACTGCTCCGCATTTTCTTGTGAGTGTAGAACATGGTGTCTCCTCTTTGTCAGGGTTCCTCAGTGAATCTGGCATGGGTTTGGTGCCCCTGCCCCCTTCCGAGAGCAGCAGGACAGGATATGGATGTACACATACACATCTTAATTAGCCTCAAATTCTGAGCAACCTTGGTTATTTGGTTGGAGAAAATCTGGGATGGCGATAGAGAACGGGAGTATTATGGCACAAGCCTGAAGAAGAGAGGGGAAAAGGCGGTAGGGCCAGGATGAGGAGCTGGCACCTATGTGCAGTGTGCTCAAGGGTAGCTTGGGGAGTCGGGTTGAGGAGGGGAATTGGGCAAAAATAAAACTGGACCACTAGAGGTTGGTGATGAAAAGATTAAGAGAAGGCGGTGTGGGAGAAGGTAACCTCTCATTCTTTCCCTATTCACCCCCCTACATAAGGCCTCTTGGAGTTTTTCTTTGCACTCCAAGTTCTGAAATACTGGGTTTCCTAAAGTGAAGAGATGGGTTAACAGTCTTGGGACTTCCTTCCGGAGGCAAATTGCCCAGGAATGGGTACCTGCTGAGTGAGGCACCCGCCTTACATGGCTTCCCTCACCTTAAACACCTACCATATCTGTCTCAGAGCCTGCACCTTCCTCCCTGCCCCCTCTGCAGACCCCTTCCGGTTCCTTCACAGGACCCCCCACATGGCTTCCTCCTTTTTTCACAAGTTGTGCAAAGAGCCCTGCACCTGATTCAATATTGGGATTTCCTGTAGGTCTGTCAACATGCATGAGCCCTCCTCCCATTACCCTCTCCTTGGGCCCTCGCTTGCCTGACCCAGCTTCCCCAGCCCCAGGATTCAGAACCTTAAGCTAACTAGGAGTGGCTGGGTTAGAATGGGGATTGGGGCTGTGTCCACCTTGGTGCTGTGTTCTCTAAGCCCTAAATGCACCTCCTTTCTTAATTTCTCCCTGGGCCCATGTCCCCTTTCCTTGGGGCTGGCCAGGACTGTGCGGTATTCCAAGTCTGTGATCAGTCCCTCAGAACCCAGCACCCCACCCCCTGCCCTGCTCTGTCTGCTCCTCCCATTCTGGGAAGGCTATACTCTTCTCGACAAAGGTCAGTGCCTGTAGGTTCCAGTTTGCCTACCCCTCCCCCAGCTGAGAGTCCAATTCCTCTTTCCAGTCCTTCCTACCCTCACTTAACTCCAAACCCTGCTTGCCACTCACCGGGTGGAGAAGGGCTCCAGGACCCAGGTGCAGAGCAGGCAGCACGCTGGGGAGCAGATGGGGAGGAAGACAAGTGGCTGTGGGGCATAGCCCCTCCACGGCAGTGGGGTCACACGCCTGCCCTGGCCACTTCTGCCCAATCAGAGAGCAGGGAGCCACCAGACACTGGCGAGGGCCCCCGGAAGTGACGCCTTCTCCTCCCACCCGCGCTGGACCTGGAGCCCCTGCCCTGGACCATGGTCCACTATCGGAGCCCAGCTCCTCCACCCACACACACCACAGGGAAGATCTGAATAGAGGGCTCCGTCTTTTCCTAGAAGACGGGAAACCTGGGACTTGGCTGGGAAGGAGATAGGAGGGGAACTGAGGTTTTTTCCAGGAGGAACCTGGCAGGACATTTTTGTCCCTGGGGAAGAGGCACAGAGGTCTGGTTTTAGATTGGTGGGTTTTTCAGTTCCTGGCTGTCCAAATTTATTTTCCCTGGATACCACACCTGCTGCTGAAATCCAGTAAGGCTCTTGCTTTGCTGCCTTTCTTTCCTGGTCGTGTCTTGTTCCCCCCTTCCAAGTGGGAATATGGATATTGCTTGTATTCGAGAAGGACCCTGTCAGGTGTCAGTGTTGTGGGGAAAGGGTCTGGACAGTTTGAGAGGACTTCAAGGTGAGGGGTGTGTGTGCTGGGTTAAGCCATGCTCCTCCGCTGGCACCCTGTTGCTGAAACAGCTACGCCCATTTTTCTCTGTGCCCATGCCCTCCTTTGCTTGCCCTGTCTTTCTGCCTCTTCCATCTCCTACCACTCCACATGTGACAAGAGGAATAACCAGGCCCATGTGGCCCTGTCTTAGGAAAGACAGCTGCTGAACCTCCCCCGCAAATACCTCCCCCTATCCCCCCTCTTCCTTTGGCCCCTGCTCTAATTCCTTTGCTTTCCCCTCAGTCCCGGTCTCCCCACAGTCTCTGTCCTCAGGGGCCTCCTGGCCTGACCTTGTTCCCATCACACACACCCCCCCCTCGTTCTTCCTCAGGCTCTCTCCTGCTCCTCCTCCCAAGGATGGGGCTGTCTGCTAAGAAGTATGGCCTAGATCCCGGAATTCTCCAGTTCAGCCAGATGAGATGCCTCCCAAGATTAGGAAGGAGGGTGCTGGGATGGTTGGGAGGATGCTGGTGTGTGGGGGTGACCAGGAAACCAAGACAAAGGAGGTTGGGGGTAGGGTGGAGAGGCAGAGGGTGCCCTGGGTGAAGCAAGAGGGTGAGAAAGCATGTCAGGCTGGGGACCATGATGGTTGGATGGACCTGAGGACAGGTTACAGTAGGGAGGGAAACACTGTCACCAGACAGAAAGGGAACACTGTTTCTAAGTCCCTGTCCTGTGGAACGGGAAAATTAGGAGAGACCTCAGAGAAGAGTAGGGACACAGGCTAGGCAGTGAGAGTGGGTGGTGTGGGGTCTGAGCGGTGCTGTGGGCCTGAGTCGCGAGGAGATCAGTTGATGGGCCTTTCCTGCACGCTGTCATCCCTAAAGACAACTCTTCATCCTTCCGGCGAGAACCGAGTCCTAACCCAGTGGCCGGCCCAGGCCTCAGGCCCAGCCTCTGCCCCTCCCTGGCTTGGGGCTCCCGTCCTGGGCCGGACACACACCTCCTGGTCCAGCCGCCCTGTGGCCGCCGGCAGCGGGGGGGCTCCAGACCCGCCTCTCCTCCCTTCTTCGCGCCCCCTGGTCCCTCCCCTCCCCCTGCCCCCTTCACTCCCCCTTCCCCTCCAGCCCCTCCCTCCTCCCCTGCCCGGTCCCAGCCCCTCCCTCCCCTCCCCCACTCGCGATCCGGGCCGCCGCTGCTGGGCCGGACCCCCCGGGCTCAGCCCGGCCCCTCGCCGAGCCGCCGCCGCCGCCCCGTTTGCTGAGGAGGAGGCCCCCGACCGGGGCGCCGGGCGCGGGCATAAAACGGGCCAGAGCCGGCGCCTGGGGCACTAGAGCCGCGTACGGCCCGGGTCAGCGCCCGCCCGCGCTCCTCCCGGCCGCTCCTCCAGCCCGGCCCGGCCCGGCCGGCGCCGACTCTGCAGCCGCCCGACGAGCCCCTCGCCGCACTGCCCCGGCCCTGGCCCCGGCCCCCTCCTGCCGCACCGCCCCCGGCCCGGCCCTCCTCCCACCTCCCTCCTCCCTCGCCCGCTCCCTCCTCCCTCCCGCCTCCCCAGCTGTCCCGTTCGCGTCATGCCGAGCCTCCCGGCCCCGCCGGCCCCGCTGCTGCTCCTCGGGCTGCTGCTGCTCGGCTCCCGGCCGGCCCGCGGCGCCGGCCCCGAGACCCCCGCGCTGCCCATCCGGCCCGAGAAGGAGCCACTGCCCATTCGGGGAGCGGCAGGTAGGTGGGCGCCCCGGGGGAGGCGCGGGCGGGGAGTCCGGCGCGGGGCAAGTCAGCGCCCGCCCGGAGGGGGCGCCGGGCGCAGGTGGCTCGGCGCGGCGGGCGGCCTGGAGGGGTGGGCGGGGGCCGCGGGGCGCGCAGTTCTCGGGGACCTAGGGCCCGGCCAGCGGCGCCCGGGGCGGGCACACGGCAGGAGGAGCGGGACAGCGGCCGCCAGCCAAGCCCGTCCCCGCAGGCTGCTCCTTCGGCGGGAAGGTTTATGCCTTGGACGAGACGTGGCACCCGGACCTCGGGGAGCCCTTCGGGGTGATGCGCTGCGTGCTGTGCGCCTGCGAGGCGGTGAGTGGACCCTGCGGCCGTGGCCCGGGCCCTTGCGGGTGGGGCAGCGCTGGGGTTCTGGGACGTCGGAGTGGACTGCGAGCTCTTGAGGAGAAAGAAGAGAGTCTGCAGATATTCGGGATATTTTTCTGGCAGAGGAAGAGGGGAGGAAGCGCCTCCTTCAAGTCTCAGGTGTTGACTGTTATTGATCCCTCACTATGTGTCAGGCTCTGTGCCAACTCCATTTCGTCTCTGACTTAACTCCTATTACAACCCTGCTAGATGGATAGTTATTATCCCCATTTTTCAGATAGGGACCCTAAGGCCCAGAGAGGCTAAGTAACTTGTGTAGAGTCACGCAGCTTCTAAGTAGCAGAGGGTCTGACTCCGTGGGACCACTCTGCTCTGGTCCCGTGACGTTCCTCGCCTCGCCTTTGGGTCTCACCGATTAGCCTCTTGCACTCACTGAGTTTTCCCGTCTTCTCTGCGAGCAGCCTCAGTGGGGTCGCCGCACAAGGGGCCCGGCCAGGGTCAGCTGCAAGAACATCAAACCCGAGTGCCCAGCCCTGGCCTGCGGGCAGCCACGGCAGCTGCCCGGACACTGCTGCCAGACCTGCCCCCAGGGTAAGGCCCGCTCCGCCGTGAGGGGAGGCGGGCAGGGCCAATACTTGGTCCTGAGCCACACAGATGGGGCGGATGGAGCGGCCAACTGGCCTTCCCAGTGCCCAGCTGAAGCCCGTGTTCCCCGCCCCCGATGCAGAGCGCAGCGGTCCCGAGAGGCAGCCGACCGGCCTGGCCTTCGAGTATCCGCGGGACCCCGAGCATCGCAGCTACAGCGACCGTGGGGAGCCGGGCGCTGAGGATCGGGCGCGTGGAGACGGCCACACCGGTAGGCGGGGCCCGGGTTGGGGGTGGGGGTTTTGAGGTCGTGGTTGGGGCCGGGCTAGCGCAGCCAGCGACGGTACTAGGGACATCTTCCCTTGCAGACTTCGTGGCGCTGCTGACAGGGCCGAGGTCGCAGGCTGTGGCACGGGCCCGAGTGTCGCTGCTGCGCTCCAGCCTGCGTTTCTCCATCTCCTACCGGCGGTGAGGAAGGGGAAGGAGGAAGAAAGGGTCGCCTGGGGGCCCCAGGAGGGAGAATTGGGAGAGGCTGGAGGGGCTGCTTCTGGCCGAGGCTCAGAGTCCTGCCTCAAGGGACCCCTCATTCCCAGGCTGGACCGCCCTACCCGGATCCGCTTCTCGGACTCCACTGGGAGCGTCCTGTTTGAACACCCTGCAGCCCCCACCCAAGATGGCCTGGTGAGATGATGCCATTTATGAGTACTTATCCAGTCTGGGCACTGTGCTGGGGCATGCTCTGCATTGCCTCCTTTGGTCCTCACAACAGCCCAGTGGGAGGAAGGCACTGACATTATGATGCCCATTTTACAGATGAGGGAACTGAGGCTCAGTAGCAGAATGTGATTTGCTCAAGGTCACAAAGCTAGTAAGTGGTGGAGCCAGGATTTGGACTCCAGCATGTGGCTCCAGGGCCCCTTCTTAAGCTTCCTAGGAGGGCCTGGGGGCTTCTTTTCGTGTACCTTCCTCCCCAGAGCTGGACCTCTCAGCTGGCCTGTCCTGCATACTGTCTCAGTAGGGCCTTCTTGTTTCTCTGCTCCAGGTCTGTGGGGTGTGGCGGGCAGTGCCTCGGTTGTCTCTGAGGCTCCTTAGGGCAGAACAGCTGCATGTGGCACTCGTGACACCCACTTACCCTTCAGGGGAGGTCTGGGGGCCTCTCATCCGGCACCGGGCCCTGGCTGCAGGTGAGGGGAGCTAATGGCCCCTGGACGTGAGGTTCTAAGTCTTCTCTATCCCCAGGAATGGAGTGGGCTGAGGAGGGGACTTTCTGATAGGCTTTCATGGTCCTCCCTCCCCAGAGACCTTCAGTGCCATCCTGACCCTGGAAGGCCCCCCACAGCAGGGCATAGGGGGCATCACCCTACTCACTCTCAGTGACACAGAGGACTCCTTGCATTTTTTGCTGCTCTTCCGTGGGTTGCTGGAATCCAGGAGCGGGGGTAAGTGGAATGGGAGAAGAGCATGTGAGGAGGCTAGGGAGAACCCCCTCTCTCAGAGCTGTCCACATGTGCAGCTGTTGCAGGACCAGCCCAGGTTCCCTTGCGGCTCCAGATTCTGCACCAGGGGCAGCTATTGCGAGAGCTCCAGGCCAATGCCTCAGCCCAGGTGAGTGAGGGTCTGGCTCTTGCTGCCACCTGCTCTGGCCTCTCGCTGCGCCCACCATACCCTGTTCTGTCCCTAGGAGCCAGGCTTTGCCGAGGTGCTGCCTAACCTGACAGCCCAGGAGATGGACTGGCTGGTGCTGGGGGAGCTGCAGATGGTCCTGGAGAGGGCAGGTGGGCCAGGGCTGCGCATCAGTGGACACATTGCTGCCAGGCAGAGCTGCGATGGTGAGGCACGGTGGGGCCTGGAACCCTAGGCACACACAACTGAGAGGCACAGACAAGTGCTGAGGGGAACTAGGGCGGGCTGAGGGTATGAATGGCTGTGGGCAAGCCCACCTCCACCTATCTTGCCCCCTGCAGTCCTGCAAAGTGTCCTTTGCGGGGCCGATGCCCTGATTCCAGTTCAGACGGGTGCAGCTGGCTCAGCCAGCCTTACACTACTAGGAAACGGCTCTCTGATTTACCAGGTAAGAGTCAGGGGCTGCAGGAGGCGGGAGAGGGGCAGGGCAGGCTGGGGCTTGGCCTGTGGTGGTTCAGGACCCATGCCTTCTCTGCCACTCCAGTTTGCCCTCCCCAACCCTGTCCACCAGGTGCAAGTGGTAGGTACAGGCAGTGAGGTGGTGGCTGTGACACTGGAGACCAAGCCTCAGCGGAGGGACCAGCACACTGTCCTGTGCCATATGGCCGGACTCCAGCCAGGGGAACACACGGTGAGTGCTTCAGGCAGAGCTGGGCCATAGGGCCCCTGCCCCAGAGCTGGCGCTGAGGGGCTCTGGGAAGCCAGGTTGGGAGCTGGGATGTTCAGCATCACTCACTCACTCACAGGCTCTCTCACTGATTCATTGATTCCCTGGACACATTTTGAATGAGCCTCGGGCTAGGGACTGGAGTACAAAGAAAATCAGGTGTGACCCCTGTCCTTAGCCAGCTCACACCAAATGGGTGGAGTTAGATGGAGATCAGCAGAGTAGATCATATAATAAATGTGATAGCAATGGCTGCCACTTATTGATCCTTTCTATGTGCCATGTACCACACTGGTTGCCTTACTTACATTACTTTTGGCTCTCACAGTACCTGTTTTATAGACGATGAACTGAAGGATCAGAGAAGTTAAGTAACTCCTCAAGATTGTTACGTAGGTAGGAAGTGGCAGAGAAGGGACTTGAACCTGGGCCTGCAAGGTTACTATAACATGTGTCCAATGTTACTGGTATGTGGAAGTGTGTCTGGGTATAGTAGGGGCTCAAGACATGGGAAGGATTCAGAATCTTGGGCTTGTGTGGAGGCTGAGGAGGGGTTCATCTGGGATCCAGCAGGCTGCAGCTAGGGCTCACCCTTCCCTGCCCCCAGGCTGTGGGTGTCTGCCCTGGGCTGGGTGCCCGAGGGGCTCATATGCTGCTGCAGAATGAGCTGTTCCTGAATGTGGGCACCAAGGACTTCCCAGATGGAGAGCTGCGGGGGCATGTGGCCGCCCTGCCCTACAGCGGGCACAGCGCCCGCCATGATAGTGAGTGCCCCAGGGGTCTGCCTGCCCTTTGGTGTCCTCTAAACTGTGACTCAAGCATGTGAGGGATGGTGCCAGAGGGCCCGAGCCTGGTGTGTCTTTCTCTGTGCTTGAGCTCCAGGTTGGCATCTGGAGAAGGTGGAGATGTACAGGGTGGCCCTGCCTGCAGATGCTCCCTGTTGCCATGGGGCGGGGGTCTAAAACTTGCTGTTCCTCAAGCCCTGGGCCTATGGACGGTGTCTGCCACCTCATGGAGTCCGTGTTGGGGGAGATGGGGAATGCTGGGATTCAGTGGCTGCTCCAGGCCACCTTC